TAGAGGGCAAACCAATGCAGTAAATCCATCTATGGGTTATGAGCCTTCTCATAGCACTTACGAAATTTCGTTTAAGAGACTTATTGAAGCACTCATCCTGAGATGCTTGCAAAGGAATTTCCTTCTGAAATAGGAGTTTTCTTTTTACAGTTTATTTTAAAAAATGGTCAGACTGTGAAAATTGAGAAGCTTATATTTAGACCTCCACAGAAAATATTTGAGATTCACAAGGCAGAGATGTCAAAACTGAGATGGTGGATAAATTTTTACATATTATACTGCATGTTCAGCAGCTTTTTTTCTTCAATTGATAGAGTAATTAAAGTAGGTATGAACAAAAATTTATATATGGAACAACTGTAAATGTACAGTTTAATAATTTTTATAACATGTATCTTTAATTTTGCATTATCTCTACTGTATGTTAATGGTTACTTTTGCTACACTATAATTCTACACTCTTGCTGTAACTGTTTCCATTCAGGACTGAGCACTTAGATGGTAGGGTGACAATGACTGTATATGCTACAAGACCATTATTTTGCTAAGCAGAACAGAAATAGTAGGCATATTTGAGAAAATATCAATCTGGCTGTTCATTTGTTCAGCAGAGATACATAACTTCTATAAACCATAGTCTTTGTTACTTTTCAATTAATATCAAAGAGCAGTTCAATCTGGGTTTTTTGATATAAATGTAGCCATCTACTACAGAATTTATTTTTTATAACTTTACAGACCACCTTCCTCCAAATATTCTGACCTGCCATTTAAGATACAAAGCCTGTTTACTTCTATTAAAGAAAAAAAAAGATAACAAAGCATTTTCTCCAGAGGTTTCTCAGCTTAATCCTTGCAAGGTTGCTGTAGGGCCTATGTACAGAAGCATTAAGAATTGCTTTAAAATATGGATGCACTTTTAGTTTCCAACAACTGACAAAGCCTTGATTCACTTCTGTTTTCTGCCTTACTGCCTCCCACGGCAGACCTGGCTTGGCACTGTTACCCTCACCAGTGCAGTATTATCTGGCACTGGGGTTTGAGCTAACACTCTAACTTTGAACTGTGGTGAGTCAGGGTCATCCCTCCATAGTGTAATCACAGGCAGTAGAGGCAAAAATACCAAATGAAGTGCAATAGGCACTGTTTAAATCAGACAAGTATTACAGATGGGGTTTAATGTGCAATCAATGTAAAAATGCAATACTGAAAACACAAAGTTGCAAGCTTGGTCAACTACATAAAGGTGAAAGCATCTTCAGAAGCATTTCCACACCACCCTCTAAATTAGATTATACAAGATTATTCAGCAATGCTTATGTATCATATTTCTCATGTATCATAAATTCAGAAGACATTTCTCCATGCTATTTTTTTTTGAGACATTTAACTGAGTACTCAAAATGACACGAAGTTATTTTGTTAACTACACCAAAATAGCAAAATGTTTCTAATTTGGACACAGGAGAGTTGACCATATTGAGCTCTGAAAAATACCACTATTGGGTCATTTTGATCTAATCTAAACCCTCAGGAGTGTAATCATTTTTCCCCAGCATTCTTTCCCTCCCACACACAAATCAATTCCATGCCACCTGCTTTTCTTTTTCCTCTCATATCTCTTGCATAGCCCTTGTATCCACCATTAGGTTTTCTAGACTGCTAAAAAAACACTCACTCATAAATTCCCTGGCAACAGCTGCTTCTCCTTCAGCACACAGCTCTCACAACTTATGTTTGTGGCAGGGATTGGTGTTTGGCTGCATATTACTCAGGTCAAAGCTTCCAAGAGGCTGAGCAATGGAGCCACTACCAGGATTCTGATAGTGCCTTTATCACAAGGTGGTTCCTTGTGATAAAATTCTTTCCTGGGAGCATGAAAAGATACTTCTGTTCAAGGAACAAGAAGTATCTCTTAACACTGATGGTTTAATGAACAGAGAAGTTATGATTTTTATTTTTCTTAATTTGTTTCTTTGTATTTTCACTTAGCCTTATATCACCTAACACATGTAAGGGTAAACTTTCCTTTGCTCCTTTACCAACCCAGCAGTTGCTGCTGTAAGAGGATTGGGGCTTGTTTTTTGGTTTTTTTTTTTAATCTATATCTTCCTTGGCAAAATTACAACAGACACTGCAAAACTCTAACTTGAAAAGTAGCCTACTAAATGTATGTGTTTCATTGCTTGCCTCAAGGAAAACAGAAACACACCATATCACGTACAATCATAGCACAACTTTCCCACTTGCTTTCAAGCATTCCTCCTGAGTTTAGTTTAAAATTTAATACTCCATACCTCAAATAACACTGACATAAACCTTTCAAAACAGCTTATGGTTCAGCCATTAAGAAATCATTTGGATTCCCTTGAAAACACTCTTCTTCCATACAACTTTGGGACCTTTCATGAACTAAAGGTGAACAAGAGCTGTTTTAATCTTTACAGGGGGCTAATGGTTGTTAAAGGCAGTAAGGAATTGCCTGAGCACAACAATTGGACTAGTCATGCTGTTTTCCAAAGACTGTCTTCCTGAAATAGCAATCTGCAAAATGAATGTGCACATCACACTTACTGTAACAACTGAATAAGCTTTTCTTTTAAGCCACTTTGCTGGAATTTCAATGTGAAATACCTAACACCAACATTTGCTTGACAACTTAAATCTGTTTTTCAGCTGACATCTGCTTCTGAATCCTTGTTATCCTTGGTCATTTTTAACAAACATTATGACAAGTATCAGAAAGCATGGAGAAATTCTAAGCTATAAAATTACTGTTTATTCTGTTTTCCTGCATACAGATAGTCTAAGAGTACTGCTCATTTGCTTAATGTTTACTTTTCACTCAGGCTTGAATACAGTAATTCTTGCTTTCTGCTAGCATGATTCTAGGAGAGACTGAAGACTCAAACCCAAAGAAGACACATAAAATGAAATTTAGTTAGGATTTAGATGACCAATTCCAAAATTGCAATTTCTAGTGCTTCTACTAAATACTTGCATTGGTCTGGGACTGCTTTACTTCATGGGCTCTTCAAGGTTTTTGCACTAACACCCCTAAGGTACCTAGAAGTCTGATGATGCATAAACGTTGAAGCACCTTATAAATCTCAACCAAGCTGAAAAACTGGACTATTTCTTATGTTAGCCGCCACAGAACAGTAACTCCTTTTTTTCTCACCAATGGACCTTGATTTGGTAGAAGTTCCTAGGCCACGCTTCCTAAACTGGGCTGTACAAAAATTTCATTGGTAGCTGCTTCTTTCTATTCTACACCAACATGGCTAGGTGTAGCCACCATATATATAATTTTCTTCCCACTTCTCCATGCTCTTCATACAGTAGCTCAATGAACACTGGGCCAAGGTATGGGAAGCTACAAGGAGAGTGAGGGAGGGGTATTAAAAATAATAGCATTCTCCTCCAAAATTGCTCAAATTCCCGGGCCCCAATCTTCTTTTTTTAACAATGCTCTGGGACACACAGAAAAAAAATCATTAATACAAAAAGTAAAAAAGAAGTTTGGTTCTCTGAAAAGCAGAAAAAAACTTCTACTATATAATACACACAGGCCCTAAGCATATTAGAAAGATAGAAGAGTGCCTGGGCACTCTATGTCTCTCCAGGCAAGCAGTACAGAATAGTTCACATCCACACCAGCAAACTTTCCTCTGCTTTTGAGCAGGCTGGCTGCAGGCAAAGTGCCTGTTGGAAAAAGCACTTGGAACAAGCTAACTCATGAACTGAGCTTGGAAACCATTTGAGGGTTGTCCAATGAGCAGAACTGTACTCACAAAACAACACTGCAGATTAATCCTCTTCTGAAACAATTTAAGGCGCTGTTTAATGTTCTAGATATCTCACCATGTAGTATCTGAAATGGAACTGAAACTGTGAACACTTTGACTTGCTCTCCCTCAACTTCCCATATAAGACTAACGGTTAGGCAGTGACTACTGTCATCTTAAATCACATATCACAAAAAACTTCCTTAAATACTCTTTTCCAGATGACCCTGGACTACTTGGGAAAAACACTTGCTGATCTTCAGACCGACTTTTTTTTTGTCAAGAATAGTTTTTGAATAAATAGATTTCTCTGTTCTAGAAGTTACAATCTTTATCATAAATTTTTCACAATACAAATAATTCAGAAGAACTAGTGAAATTTTCAAAGGCCTATCAAAAAGTTTGGAAACCAAATACAGATCTAAGTCACTTACACCTGTTATAACCTGAAGTTACTGAAGCAAAGAAAAATAAACTCACCCTCTGGAAGCTCTTAGCCTAAAGCATATACCAGTAGAACACAGTAATTTGAATACCAAGTTAGTTCTTTTGAACTGTTATCTTTAAATTTACTTTCATTATGTTAAAAACAGACCAACCCTGGTATCCCAGTTCACATGAAATGAAGTGTCTTATCAAATTAACAGAAACAACCCCAAAGGCCCAAAAGCTTTATGGACTCCAAGTACAACTGGCTGTCAAAGGGACTTGTGTTTCCCCAAGAATACATTGCTTATCAAAATTAGACTGAAGTACTTAAGTTTGCTAAGCAGTTCTGAAAAAATTGTTCACTGCCATTTTGTCATATCAATGCACTTTGTTTCTTTTGACTATTTATTTCTAGAGAATTAAGTATCCTCCTAATTATTAGTGTTGCTTGGGCACTAGAATAAAAAAAATATTAAAATGGCTTACTCAAAACTTCACTTTATAGGAAATATTCTATTATAAAGTGTTAATCTTTTTTTTTTTTTACATAACAACCAAATAATTACTAACTATTCTCTTCACACAACAAATTTATGGAAGTGTAGTTTTTTAGACTTTGTGTACAAATTTGGCACTACTTACATTTCAAGATCAAGATCAGTGATAACCATATACCCAAGAAAAAAACTAGAAAGCAACAGAGGTTTTGGGCCTTAAGTCCTTTAGAAATCACTCTCTGCTGCTTTCAGTTATGAAGAATATTAGATTTTAAGTGGTACATACCCATAGGATTTCCTTTCTGTGCTGGTAACTCCAGGTCGCTGGAAACTGACGTTTCACCAACACTAAATTTTGACAATTCTGTCCCAAGATATGTAACCTGTAAAAAGAAATCTAGATGGATAACTGATTGTTTTAATTAGTATTTTTGGGTTTGTTTTTTTTTTTTTTTTTTTTTGATAGATGTAGAAACTTCACTTTTCTTTAAAGCTGAGTTTATGCACTTGTAAACCTAATCTGCATCTGTCAAGATCAAGGAGAAATTATGCTAATTTGAATTCTAATGGAAAAAAAACCCAAGCATAATCATAATACAGCCCATCTGTAATGCCCTTTAAACTCTGCAAGTATTTTTGCAACAGTCATGCATGACACCCTGATATTTCAGTAAGTTTGTTCCTTTTTATTCAACTACCTTTTAGCTTTTTCTATCAGTCTTAATCATCTTTAAAGCAACTCTTTCAAATCCCTTTTAACTTACAGTGTGAGCATTCCATGTTCTTTCAACATTCATGATGAGTTCATCACTATACAACTATGTAGCTACAGCACTTTCTTTGCTGCTCATTCATTAAAGTGAGACGATATTTAAAATTCAGGCTTGTACCCTCTTTTGCTTTAATAACAGTAAGGAGATTAGATTAGTGGAACCTGTTACAGCCATTCATTATTGCTAACTTTGGGAATCAAATCAGGCCTACCTTATTCCATGCATACTTCCATGTCACAGAAATATCACTTCCTAGTAGATCTTTAACCCACTGAACTGGATTCTGTAGTATTTGTCCTTTACTGGTTCTGATCTTGCCATTCTTCAAGAGTGTAGCTTTATGACTAAATTCCTAAAAAAATAATAAGAAATAATTTCAATTAATAAATTAACAAATATAAGATCTTTGAAACATGAAAAATGCCAAAGAACAACATAGCTGAAAAGTTGCAGCTAATTCTGTTTTTCTCTGGAAAAAAGTTAAGTAATCTAATGCCTCTATCAAAAACTGTACAAAATAAAGATGATTTATTCCACCAGAATAACAATCTTTAGCCTATCAGAGGACAAATCTCCCTATGTGTGTTTGTCAGAACTGTATTTGTATTTTAGTTCCTCTTACACATAACAAGGCTTTGAATAAATTAATGTGCATCAGTGAACTCAGGCAGTTACACGAGGCAAATCTGTGCAACAAGAAACTGCTATACGAGGTACATATATGTCAGAGTGAAGTTTCAGCAACCAGTCAAACAAAACATATTTGCACAAAAATTTCACTTATATCAAGGGATATGACTTACATGTTTTAGGAGGAACCTAACAGCCTTACCTTATGCAAAATTAAGTACAAACAAACTTACTGTTAATGCCTCTTTCATAATGTTAATACGGCCCAGTTCTGCAAACATTTACACCTCTCCATAAGCACAAGTTATAGCTGTTTATAGCTGAGTAAGTCATGGTTTTGTCATATTGGCCTCCGTTGACTAACACAGCTAAGTAATGCAACGATTAACTCTTGATCAATTCTGTCAGAACTTAGTAAGGTCACTTATCATTCCTAAGGTTAAACAATCCAAGTAAGAGAGTGACGCACCAGAAAATACTGAACCATGTCCTACCATATCCACTGGCTTGGGGTCGCTTTAAGAATTAAACAGAGACAATTAACCCAAATATTTCAATGAGCACTCAACCGAGTTCCTAAGTTCAGAGTTTCACAACCTAGGTCTACAGTATTCAACAATTGCATTCTCCCTGCCCAAAGCTAACCCTAAGTAAGGACTATGCACCAGCTGTGTGTTGTCATCAAATACATCTCTATAATGATAAAGAAGGGAAATTTACTGATCATATCTTTGCAATGCAACAGACACTGGCTTCTAAATTTCGATTTCCATAGCACCATCTTCCAAGACATAAGTGAGTGTCATTTTCATTCTAGTAAAGATCACTGACTTCTCTACATGCCAAACACTAGTACCTGCAGCACTGGGTTATAATTCCTTAGGATCTATGTGTACCAAGCTGCTATCACACACAACTGTCTTGAAAAATTACAGTAGGAATACTGAATTTTTCATCCTTCCACTTAGTCATCTTGCAGTTCAAACAAATATTACATGTTCTTGAAAAAAAAGAAGCACGTCCCCACACCTATCATATGGCGTGATATACAGCCTTGTGACTTACACTACCCTATGATCAAGAATACAAGACCACACAAAATGGCAGCTCTCAGCAGAAAACCATTCCTGAGATTATAGGTGTAAGAAAAGGAGTTCTTTCTACATTAATTAAATTGATGAATTGGCTGAAAAGAACTTTACATATTTTGTCAATATGCTGCCCTGGAAATTAACTAGCTGTGTTGGTTTTGCACAGCCTGGTTTATTGTAGCAGAGGACGGCCACAGAGGTGGCTTCTGTGAGAAGCTGCCAGAAGCTTCCTCCATGTCTGGCAGAACCAATCCCTGGTGGCTCTGAGGATGGACATGCTGCTGGCCAAGCCTGGACCAATTAGAGATGTTGTTAATGCCCCTGTTTATGACATATTTAAGAAGAAAATCAAAACAAAATGGATAGAGTTCTTCCTTGCCAGAGAAGAGGAGGAGGTAAGAACGTGTGAAGGAAACAACATGGAGACTCCAAGGTCAGTGGAGAAGGAGGGGCAGGAGGTGCTCCAGGCACTGGAGCTGAGATTCCTCTGCAGGCCATGGTGCAGACCATGGTGAAGCAGCTGTGCCCCTGCAGCCCATGGGGATCCATGGGGGATGCAGAGATTCACAGCTGCCCATGCTGGAGCAGGTGGATGCCTGGAGGAGGCTGTGGTCCAGTGGGAGACTCTATGGAGAGAGAGGGCCCTGCTTCCAGGCTGGAGCAGCCTTGTCCTTGGAGGACTGCACCCCGTGGAAGAGTGACCGCGCTGCAGCAGTTTTGGGAGGACTGCCTGCCCCTGGGAGGGACTCAGGTTGCAGCAGTCTGGGAGGACTGCTGCTCATCAGACTGGAATGGAGAAGTTCACTGAGAACTGTGTCCTGTGGGAGGGACCACATGACTAGCAGAAGGACTCCTCTCCCTGAGCAACAGAAGAAAACCTTGAGTGATGAACTGACCAAAATTCCCACCAAAATTCAGTCTCCCTGTACTGTCAATAGGAAGCAAGGGGGGGGTTGGGGAAAAAAGGTGTTTTTTAAGGGCTTATTTTTACTTCTCATTATCCTCCTCTGATTTTGTTAGCAATAAATTCTCTTTGTACATCTAAGTTGAGCCTGTTTTTCCCTTGGAGTGTTTTCTCCTGGTCCTTATTTCAACTCATGAAGCCTTCACTGAATTTTTCTCTCTCCTTTGCCCAGCTGTGGCAGGAGAGGGCAAGTGAGTGACTTTTGTGGATGTCTGGCATTTGGCCAGTGTCAAATCATGACACTAGCTCATATCTCAGAATTCAGTCAATGATTCCCTCATATGCTCAATACTAAGCCAGGTCCCTAGTAGCTGTTGTGAAAATCTGCTCTTTATTTGGAGGGACGGGAAATGCTTTTGTATTAAAAAAGAGGGGTTTCTTTTTTTTTTAAATATGGTTCATACCATACTGTATGCTTACGGAATCAGCAAGCATGTAAGCAAGGAATTTTGCATGTGTTCATGCCTATCACAGCACTACAAAATCCAAATGTCACATTTTTTATTTGAGGGACTTGACAGTTGTTTCCAAGAATGACATTAAGTCATAACAACAATCACATTCCTGCTCCTTCCAGTATGAAAATCATGTAGATTTTCATGAAAATCAATGTAGATCAGCCAAAGATTCCACTCTGGTTCTAGCAATAAGAAATACTAGCAAACTGGTAATGCAAAGTTAAACACAAATTTTACTTATGCAATATTCTGGGTCTTAAAATCATGGGCTGACAGAAGACTTCATCCATATAATTTTCCTTTTAAACTCATGAACAGTTATCTATAACCAATGAATAAAAAAACTCACTAGTTGGTGCTGAAGAAGCAGATGAAACCATGAGAACTGCTTTTTCCTGTTTTAGTGTGGGGGGCATTTTTATTATCCGCTAATATTAATATTATTACTAATATAATTTCTCAACAATTACCTGCAGTTTGAATTCTAAAACATTTTCTCCGGGCTTTATTCTTCCCAATTCAAGCAGATCTATCAACTGATTTTTTTTCTTACTCTTCCATCCATATCTCACTTGGTTTTGTTCCCATTCCTGATTACCATAACTCTGTGAAGATTTCTCACTGATATTTGCTGGAGAGTCTGTATTTGAGGAAATATTAGTAAGCATCAGGTTGGCATTAAATGAATTCTCACTACTCTGAAAGACCATTTGCTGCAAAGTATTAGAGAAGCTCTTGGTAGACGCTAATAAAGTTTCTTGCTGCGGCTGCTGTTGCTGCTGGAAAGCTTCTTTCTTATTCACATATCTGTGCAGATCCTCATGTGAAAGAACCTGCTTGCAGTGACGGGTTGTCTGATAGACTTTCTTACCGACAACAGTGCTTTGGGGTTCTACAATATTTAATGTGTTGGTCATTGAAGTGCAATTTAAAGACCTGTTTCTTTGTCCTACAGTTGCTACACAATCAATGTCTTCTGGCTGTGAGCACTTTATTTTAGCAGTGGAAATAGTAGGTTCTGAAGACAATGTCATCACTTCTGCAGCATTAGTCAGCTTTGACATGTTGTCAAAGGCATATTCTCTTACTCTGTTTCCAGATGCCAAAGCATGATCAGAAGCCTCCTTGCTTCTAATTGCTTCTTTATTTGCTCCTGTTTCATCCAAGCAGATGTCTGGATGCTGGATGCATTCCTGAGCTGAAAATCTATTTTCTAAAGAGACATGTGCTTCTACTCTGTTTCCATTAGGCCTGCTGGCACCAAGCCCCATACTAAATGTTACTGTATTAGGACACATTATTTCATTAGCAGTTAAACTTTGAATTGTATCACTTCCATGAAATGAGATTTGCTTCTCTGATGATGAATTGAACATTTTCTTTGTTTTTCTGTAATTTTTTAATTTCTGCACTAATTTTTCCTGGTTTTGGGCAACAGTCAACAAGCTCTTTTGACTAGAAGCAAGGTTAACTAATTGTTCCCTTAGTGCACCTTTTTTAAATGATTCCACTGAGGCCCTATAAAAAATAAAAAATAAAGACATTGTAGTTACTGTAGATACAAAATTAAAACAGTTAATAGACATAACAAAGAACAAGAATACGTTTCAACATTTAAAATCTGCCAACATTTAAAATTTGAACAATATTTTTATCATGTATGAAGTTTAATGTTAAAATTCCAGGTTTATGAACAATGAAGTGCAGAATCCCAAGAATTAAGATGCAGGTGGGAATCCCATAGAATTAGAATGTTAATCATCAAAACTTCGGAAATAGTCTTGCCTATACCACTCCTTAATTCACAGAATTTATACTTCTATACCACCTTTAATTCAAAGAACCAAAACTATGCCTGTAGTATATCACCAAGTGCTCTGTTATTACCACAAATCATAGTAGCACATTGAATCCCATGTCCCAGAAGTCTACTTTGGAGTCTTTTAAAATGACTTCAGGATGAGCTCCTGAAGGATGATACTATAAGGATTTTTTTATGGTGTACACAACAAAACATTTCATAAAGCTACCAATGTAATAATGCCACATGACCTTTAAGAGGACATGTACAGTTTAGGATGTTGCCTGTGTAATCTGGGAATGCTGTACCTTCATCAGACCCTGCTCCCAGACTGAGCCTCCCTCCTATGAGACCCCTTCCCTGGGGGACTTTACCTCCTCTCTGCTGGAAGGGAATTCTTTATTCACCCCACTTTCTTTGGTACAAGAGCCATCAACTCAGCATAACACTATTTTCTCCTAATTCTTCTTCATGAGACAAGTGGCATAACTATGACTCAAGCACCATTTTGGGAAGATAGAGAAGTAACTCAAGTTGTGGGAAATGTAACTACAGTATGGCTTGCTTTTAAGGCCACCCACTGCAGAGATGCCATGGCAGGTAACACCATACCAGTCTTAAAAGAGACTGTTGAGGGGATCAGAACAAAGGTACACTAAGACTAGATGTCTCAGAACAAGGACAGAAAAAACATATCTTGACAGTATTGTTGTCTGTACTGTGATACTGCTTGGTATATCATGTGCTTGGAATACCCATACCATCAACATATTAGCATATAGTCAATCATTGAGTAATCCATGACAACTGTGGGCCTTTACACAGGGCAGTGAGGCTCCCACACACTTTTCTAGCAGTTTTTGCTCTGGGAAGTTTTATTGCTTTATTGCTATACAAGTACAGAAGATGCAACTGAAGAGGCAAAGAGAGTGTGACTAAAATGACAAAGTAACTTACAGTCAATAACAAATATAATACTTCTTTTTTGTTAATTTTTCTCAGGTAAAAGATATATCTTAGTACCTTAGTAGAAAAGATGCTAGCACCTATATCTAAGTACAGAAAAGGAACAATATAAGTAGTATCTCTCTCTGGGCCAACTAACTGAACAACTGGAAGATAGAAAATGTGATGATGCCTCCTGATCTTCTATGGCTTGTGTGACAAAAGTTATAAGCCAATTCATTAAAAATAAGATGTTGACTATAAAAATAATAAAAAGCAAATATAATGTGATTTGGAATACAGCTCATTACTAATGATAGATGGCTGTTATATTAGCTGCAGGATATCTGCAATACCCAGAAACATTTATTACGTCACTCTGGAGCACAGACTCAATCTCAATACTAGAAAACAGATAAGTTTGTGTAGCTATTAATTTTACCGTCCTTGTTTCTTAACTCAGTCACTATTTTGCCCACAAGGATGATTTGGAACTCCAACTCCTCATAAAATCCTTTTTAAAAAAATTATCTGTGTAATATGTGTATCTTACATTTTATATCTGGCAAAATGGCTTGTGACAGAAATATTTCAGTCTCTTTGCTCAACCACCCTTTATATTTGCCATGGGACTATCTGAAAGTTTTATGCTGCTGCTTTTACATGACCAACCAAATCCTGCCCACAAAAGCAAGAATGGAAACATCCTCATCAGCTGGCCTAGAAGCATCTGTTGAATAGGATGCTACATTGCTAGGTGAGCATTCACCATATGACCAACCTTGAGTACTTCTCAGAAGGAAGCAAAAAGGGGCCTTGTGAGAGCTAGTGTCATGAACCTCCTAATTCACACAGTCCGTGCTCACACTAAGATGAGCAATTTTACCCGACATTTTAATTGTTCTCACAAAAATTGAATGTCTGCAAGCATACTTCAAGCCGTTTCTTTAAATGGCTCTTGTTGGCCATTGGCTGAACACTACTAACCTAGGAGTGCTGAAGAAACAAATCAGAGTCAGGGACACTCCAAGTAGTGTCTTGAGTTGCTATTACTTTCCTCCATGATACTGCAAAATAAATGTAATTGCTCAATACCCCCATTTCCTAATTTCTGCTTAGGTATCATGGTTCTATGAGGAGAAAAGTCCTGCTTATGAAACCTGATTTCCTTTTAAAACAAGTTAACCCACCTAGCCGATCAAGGGAAACCAAGTGATGTAATCTTCTGGGATTTCAGTAAAACTTTTGGTACCATCTCTCACAGGATCCTTCTGGACAAAATGTCCAGATAAGCACATCACACAATGGGTGAGCAACTGACTCACAGGTCAGGCTCAGAGGGTTCTAGTGAATGGGATGACATCAGGCTGGTGTCCTGTCACAGGGTTCTGTGCTCTTAAACATCTTCGCATCTTCATCTTCACTAATAAGTTGGATGCAGAACTGGAAGGGATACTAAGCAAGTATGCTAACAATACAAAACTGGGTGGAGCTGTTGATGCCCTTGAGAGCACGGAGGGCCCTGCAGAGGGACCTCAACAAATCAGAGAACTAGGCAATCACCAACCATGTGAAGTTCAATAAGGAAAGTGATGAATTCTGCACCTGGGATGGGGCAATCCTGGATGTATGGACAGAATGGGAAATGAGATGCTGGGAAGCAGCAACATGAAAAGGGACCAGTGGGTCCTGGTTGATGGCAAGTTGAACATGGTCAGCAGTGCCCTGGCAGCCAGGAGGGCCACCCGTGTCCTGGGGGCATCAGCCAGGCAAGGGAGGGGATTGTCCGGCTGTGCTCTGCACTGGGGCAGCCTCACCTCCAGTGCTGGGGCAGCTCTGGGTGCCACAATAGCCTCATGTAAGGCTAGAGAGTTTCCAAAGGAGCATCATGAGGGAAAGGTGCATCACACAGGGAGTAGGTGGGCACTGGAACAGGCTCTCCAGGGCAGTGGTCACAGCATCAAGCCTGACAGAAATGTTTGGACATTGCTTTCAGGCACATGGTGGGATAGTGCTGTGCAGGCTAGGAGCTAGACTCGATGATCGTTGTAAGTCACTTCCAACTCAGCATATTCTGTGAGTCTGTGTTTTTCCACACATTCTGTATCATTCACTACCTAATTTTAATGCTCACTGTGAGTACAGCAACCGATTATTATGCATTAGCTAAATCCTGAAGTTCTTCTTTCATGTAACTGAGGTAACTGAAGCCAATACTGATCATGCTTCCAGAAAATCTGAATGAAAACCACATAGATGTACTTTTCTGCCACTATATGCTCCTAACAACTTCTATCACTACTACTGCAAAGAATAGCTTTCTATGAATACAATCCTTGTATTCTACTTACCTGTATTTTTTAGCAAGGGTATCCCTCTCTGTTTTCTGGTTTGCAAGTATTTCATTCAAAGTATCTTGTATCTGAGACAGCCTTTGGATATACACATCTGTTCAATATTTTGAAATAATCAAAATTATGATGGTGATAAGAAGCAGGAAATAATTTCATTAATAGCATTTTCAGTATGGCAAATACACAGCCAAAGTATAAAGACACTGCTAGAGCACTATGTTATACTGTAATGCATGCTGGTAGCTCCTAACAATTGGAGCACTTTTAATGAAATTCTTATAGAAATAATTAAATACAAGTTTAACTTTAAAAAATTAGCAGAAGTACTAGAAAAATCTGAAGTGCAAGTACCTTGTTTAGGAAATTATTAAGAGAAAAAGGAATTAATTAAAGAACTGCCCTATGGATGATAAGCCCTGAAAATTTTCAAGCTCTTTGTGTTGCAAGTAGCAACATAACATGGCAATTATACTGAGGCTACCTGCAGAAGTTACACAATCGTAACAAGGTGCCTAAACCTTTCATTTGAAGTATTATGAAATAGCTTAATGAACCTAGACTGTTTCAAGTTGCATACAAAGGTAAAAGCATATCTGTCCCAGTTTTACATAGTTTCTAACTCATATTATAAAGTTAAATTATAAAGAAGAGCAATTATAGATTCTTCTTTATACACCCTATCTCATAGACATATAAATGAGGGTTAGAAGTCACAACCAGTGGATACCACTGGGATAATTTGCTAAAATTGTAACCTAATTCCTGAAACTCTAAAAGTCAATACGAGCTTTACATAATCAGGAAAAGATGAGAAATTACAATATTAAATTGGAATTTGTAAAATGTTTCCCCAAACATTTTTCACAATACCTACCAGTATTTGCCTACTTAGTAATATGTAAATATTGCTTTTATTAAGGTAGTTTAATAAGAATTTTGTATCTGTTATTTATAGTAGATTTCACTGCATGGAAATACCTTGAGATTTTAGTCCACTTTCTTTTGTCTTAGTTCAATCTTGTGCCTCATCAATAGTAATGACTATGACTTAGTTTAAGAGGTGCTACATTACTAACGCTTTTGTCAGTAGTGGTAACAGATCACCATGTTAATTTCTCTCAACCCCTGAACAAGAGAAGTCTGATTACCCCTGGAAAGGAGAAGTCTGATAGTTCTTTTTGCTCATTCATGAAATTGCACTGATGTCTGTGCACAGGTGTCTGTCTGTTGCATCATCTACTTATCTGTCAAACATTTTTCAAGAAAACACCTATTTTAATTAACCATACCCCATAAATCTGAGTTGAAGTAATCCCTATAATTCCATATTTCACATTTATTTTTAAAGGGATAAATTTACTTGTAAATACCATTTGAAAGCTTTAGCCTGTATTTAGGAATATAAATTTAAAAACAAACCCTTTCTTTCTGTCAGCAAGCAAAACTATTTCATGAGTATGAGATGCTCCAATTAAACAGCCTTGCCTTGATGGGTGAGGGCAGCTGGGGAGAGAGACCTTAGTCAAAGGCATTCTGCCAGGAAGCTATGCCTCTTGAAGCATCAAGGCACGGATACAATAGACTTCAACAGATACACAGCAGCAGCATCATGATCACCTAAGAAGTCACTGTCACTTAGTAAAGTCTTGAGATTAATCTGAACTGAGATTTGATAGCCTAAGACAAATTACACCTCTGGGCATCAGCATCTCTTAAACTGCCAATCATTCACACTGTCTGCTGTAAAGAATTCTCTTTTTATCTCTCATAAATTACTTTAGGCTCCTGGAAGTCTAGCCACATCAGAATAAAAATGCTGCATCTGCTACTTTACCTACAGACATAGCTGTCCTTGGTCATGCAGGGGCTCATGTGCTCATAATTAAATAATGCTGCCAGAAGTATGCATTCTTATCTAATGATCCCTTTTTATAGAATTAGGATGACTTGAGACACATGCCTCCAAGTGACATGCCTTCCTTTTCTGTCATAGTATTCATTCCTGTGTAACAGAAAGTACTTTGGGAAGTGCCCACTCCTGAGAGGTGTTACTAAAATCTTATTCTCTGAAGCTTTATTTTCCAGAGGAGATTCAAATATATTATGTGCAATAATGTTTTAAAAACAGTTATATTGCCAAAGATATTTACCCACTAAAAATAAAACACTTCAATTTATCTACCTGCATCTTTTGAAGTTCTCAACTCAAACAGCAACAGTTCTTCCTGCTTCTTTTCTGTATCCAGTATGGCAGCAACAGACTCCTGTTAACAAACACAGAAATTACCATAAGAAGTAGAGCCAAGTATATAGAGCACTATACAAAACAGGCCATGACACCTGGCCTGCAGTTTAGGTATTGTAGACTCAAGTAATTCCAGTTTGGGGATTACTGTGTAAAGGCAGTGGGGCACTGGTAGGACAGAGGTACACAGTGACAAGAACATGCTCTGCAAGGGGCTGTCACAGCCTGGGTTTGCTGTGGCATTCAAACTAGTTGATGCTCAGAGTCCTCCAGAAACCTCTGAGTGCACAGCAAAGATTGGACAGTGAATTTCACCATGACAGCATCATCTAGACAATGTAGGCATAGGTTACAGACACCAGGAAAAGCTAACAACTTGTGCAAAAATCTTCCTTGTTGTTTTGTGGTAATATAAACAATATCTAAGTATCTTCAACATCATGATGGCATTTCATTACTGTTTCAAAAAGAACCATTCTGAAAATGTGATTAAAAGCTTCAGATCTCACAACCTTTTTTCCTATTTTTATAAGCAATAAGAAATCTGTGTCAGTATTGACTACTGTTTCCACAATAAATTTAAATGCACAGGAATTATGAACAGAGAGAGGTGATTATAAACATACTCATCTATGTAAATCACAACTTATCTTCTATAAGTCTCTGCATGATGCTGTTTTTACATACATTTCAATGGATTATTTATTATATTTATATATTTTGCAGTCATCAAATGTCACTATGCAGTTGTACACCACAGAGCAGTTTAACAAAACTGTAATCTATACTTACCACACTGTATTTCTCATGTTGTGTCTCCAAAGCTGCATCATCATTTTTATAGCAGTCATAACAATGATGTTTTGATCTTTCCTCTCCACGATTAAGAAAAAATAAATAAAATTTAAAAGTAATTTGCAGGAGCACCATAATAATGTAAGTTAAAAAGATGCCTGCCATGGCAGGCAGTTAGCACACTAATTTAGGTTAAAAAGATGCAATGGCAGATCAACTAATCAAAACTATCTTGTATATGCAAAAGAGATCAAATTTAGGTAGCATAAAGAAATGAAAGCCACCACTTTCAAAACTAGTCATTTCCCTTCCTGTGAAAGGAAATACAGATAATAACAAAAAACTGAGTATCCAAATACGTTCTTCTTCCAAATATGTTCTTTTCTTTTTTTTCTTTTTAAATACAGACAATAACAAAAATCTGAGTATCCAAATATGTTTTTTCTCATTCTCTCAAAAAAAACAAAACCCACCCACACATGCTATTTTCCGCAAATAAATAAATAAATATCATTCAATAGTTAATGGAATTAAAATCTGTGTCAAACTACTTGAATGTATGATTTTTCCTTAAGACTACAGAGTAATCCTATGATTTGTATTACATACCAGTAACTTCAACAGTTTGAACAGGAAGTACAGAGTCTGTAGCACCATACGTCTTCAACAGTTCTTTCATTTCTGCATCACAAGCTTGATTCAAAGCACTTTCTCCTGAACCATCCCTCTCATTGGGATTTGCTCCATGCTGCAGCAGAATCCTGGCTGCCTATTATGCATTTTTGTTATTTGTACAGTGGTAATTCTTGTTGTGGACTTAGTATACAACTACATGTGTTATATCTAACATCCATCACAAATAGTAGAGGTTCTCTAGATACTCTAGAGAGTATATACATAAATAAGATACTCTACAATCATTATACCTGCAATCCAAATTTAAAAATCCCAAATAATTGGCTATTGTCAACACAGATTTCTATCTTACATTTCTTACATTTTTCCTTTAAAATACACAAATAACTCACAAATTTTCACAAAACACGTAATTTTTATAGTACTAATTTTTATGATTTTATGGTAATACAGAACGATTACAAAACACCATGTATCTGGATTAAGAGGAGCTGGTCAATTGCATTAAGACCAAAGTGCAGAATAGAAGTGCATTTCTTTCTTTAAAATTGGTTTCGGTTTCATGCACTGATATTTTTTTTTCCTAATTCCAAAAAACTTGAAGTTTGCTTAATCGCAGAATGTGGAAGTCAGATTAGTGGTATCAGTGGAATCATTTACCCCCTAAATTCAAATCATGTGAAAGTACTGATGAGGTCAGACCTTGGATGGTAAAAGAATTTTCATATGTATGACTTTTCAGCTTTAGCATTTCTTCTTATTTCTTACACTCAGAGTGCAGTTAAGTAGGAAAATGCATCAGAACAAGAATGCTGACTCAAAGTTCAGGATGTTCTCTTGTTGGTTTTCCCCCAAAATGCTGAATAATACACTTATACCTTTGCAAGAATCCGACTGATAGTTTGGCTCCAAGCCTGTGAAATCATCCCCTTTGTTTTACCCTTGCTCACAGAAAAAGATAAATGTGATAAAACATGAATTGTCCTGACAGAATTAGAAGTAGTATGTTTGAGCCAATTTGGCGCCACCTTTACAGCTCCCCAGAACTCACTCTGTCAAAAGAACATTTTATTTATTTCTGTGCAGTGCTGGGTACCACAAGTCAAGAAGAATGTGAAGGTCCCTGAATGTGTCCAGAGGGTAACAAAGCTGTTGAAAGTGCTGAGAGACGTATTCTGTGGTGAGCCACTAAGGGCTTTGGGCTTGTCTAGTTTTGACAAAAGGAGGCTCAGTGACCTCACTGCTCTCTGCAGCTTCCTGAGCATGGAAGTGGGGAGGGAGATACACATCTTCTCCCCCTGGGATCCAGCAACAGATAAGTGGGAATGAGTCTAAGCTGTGCTAGAGGAGGTTGCCTGAGAGGTGGTCAATGTCCCAAAGCTGTCAATGTTTAAGGAACATTTGGACAATGTTAATATTATTTAACTTCTGGTTGGCTCCAAAGGGATCAGGCAGCTGGACTAGATGATCACTGCAGGTCCATTCTAACCCAAAACAGTCTGTTTTACAGAACCACAGAATGGTTTGGGTTGGAAGGAATCAGTTAATAAAAAATTGTTTATTTTTAAACAGAAAGACCAAAATCTTTTTTTTACAAAAATAATTTTTTTTTACAATTAAGGTAGTGAGACACTGAAACAGATTGTCCACAGAAGTTGTGGTTACCCCATCTCAAGAAATGTTTGAAATTTGGTAGAACAGGGCTTTGGGCAAGCTAAGCTAGTGAAAAGATATCCCATCAATGACAGAGGTCATTATGGCTACGTGCTATTCTCCTCTCCTGCTTAAGCCACAACCACCAGGGGCACTGGTAATAGATGCATCCAGCCTACTCCACACTTTGCAGGGGAAAAAGGGCACTGTCAACAGTGACCCAGGCATCTTATTGGTATGGAAATATGACTGTGAGTCAATCACCTTACTTCATAAATAGTGCCCAGCCCAGGGCCCCTTGAGCTTTCTCACACAGCAATGGGCTGCACACCAGGATCTCCCTTTGAGTATAGGGACACATCTCAGCATTACTCCTTGAGGCACAGAAATTCCTGTCACAACAGATTCTCCATAATTGATGCTAAACTTTGAAATCTTAGCTAAGTGATAGAAAGGATTGATTGTGAACATACAGTCCTCTAGACATAAACTGCTGACTGAGTCTGGAATGAAGTCTGGATCTAGCCATCTGAGAAGGAGTTTAGAAAGCAAGGGGATCCTTTCTAAACATCATGACTCAACAGGAGGGTCCCTCCTCACAGTTGGGACCCTGTTCTCTATGCAGTAAACAACAGAATTGTGTTAAACAACTGTCCCATTTATCAGTGAACTTTGTTAACTCACTGTTTTATATCACTAAGCATATCATTTGTTCTCTCTTAAGTGTGAAGTGCATCACTCCCATCTGCGGCAGCACTGAACTATCGATAAATTGAGAATGTTCAACTTTAATACTATTTTTAAGAAGCCCAAACCTGACAAAGAACCACAGGGAGTTTCTGAATTTTTATGATTTGTCTGTTGTATTAAAGAAGTCAACTAACTGTACAATTTCAACTGTCACTACTGAAGAATATTTTTCTCTGATTTTTTTCACTTTAAAGAATACTGGTTTATTTCCTAAATGCAAACCTACACTAAAAGTATGTTTGTAACTTCAATGAAATGTGAATTTTGCTTTGCTGACCCTCTGCTGGAAATCTGTGTTGGGAAATCTTACATAAAAGAAAAATATACCTCCAAATAATTGCCCGAAACAGCATCATGTATCGGTAAAACACCACAGAGACTTCTGCTGTTAACATCAGCACCGGCTTTCAGTAATTCTAAGATCACATTAGTAAATCCTCCATTAGAGGCTTCATGAAGTGCTGTCCAACCTAATAAAAGCAAGATAACACAGTATGCATCTGATCTGGAAAGACCCACAAAGGTCACTAATTAGTAACTCTACATTTTGCTGCATTTAAGATAAATCTTACACAAATAATCATCAGGAAAAGCTAAGGTAAATGATTTTGTGTGCATTCAGTTTACTTCAAAGAAAAACTCATCCAATATTAAGCAGAAAAACATTGCTTTCTTTTCTACTGCAGTAGAAAAATAATAGAAGAAACAAAATTGGAGTAGAAAAACTCTAAAAACTCAGGAGCACAGTATTAATAATCTGATTTCTAATACCAGTAGCATTTTATAATATCAAGTCTGCATGACTTGATAGTATAGAATAGTATCCATTATGAGACTATGACAACAGAAACATGCTATATATTTAGGTAGGAAAAAGGAAAACATAATCTTGTCATCTGTTTTTTTTCCTTATTTCTTAAAGAAATAAGACCTGTCTGAATGTGCTTCACACATGCATATACTGATGCACATAAGCTCCACCAAACTTAAAGTTCACTTCTGTACACATCTCTGAAAACATGCTCTTCAGCAGAGTAAAAAGACCCTTCTGAGAAACAGTCGGCATTACCTCCATACTGACATGAAAGTTATGTGTTCATTCAGTGTGCTTGCACTTGTTTAATGACTTCCTCAAAATTTTAAGCCAAGAATCTGTAATTTTATTAAAATTATGCAAACAATATATACATGTCTATACTACAGATTATGTAAAATTGTAGTATAAAACAAACTCATAAGGGAGTAATTTTTAAACCTGCATAGTCCTGTTCATTGACAGAAATTCCAGATGATATTAGAGTCTTCACCAAAGACACATCTCCTCTCTTAGCAGCAATATGCAGCTGAGTTTCCCCTTTTCCATTTCTCCTAATTTTCATCTTTCTCACAGCTCCTGTCTTACAGGTACCAGGTACAATTACAGCTGCTTCCCTGGTAGATTCTAAACAGATATTGGGTGTTCATTAGAATTTTTTTCACAAAGAATGCTTAAGTATAAACAGAAAATTAAACTTCATAATTTATTTGAATTATTGTAAATGTAAATACTCTTGCTTTAATTATTCACTAACATCAAGTGACTATAACAAAAAGTTAAAAAGTACTGTGGTAGGTCCTGTGCAACAGGTCAAATGACAAGCAGATCCTATACTTAAGAATTTCCAGTTAAAACCTAGATGATTCAACAAGGGTACAACAAATTAGGAAGACAAAAGAAAGGTAACAAGGTTGAAATTTTATACTGTATAGAGGTAGAGAATATGTTAGGTTTCTCCATGGATGGCTTTCAAGTTACCAGGCTGCTAAATATATAAACTGCACACATAAAGATATGTAAAAAACTATAAAAGTGGAGACTTTTTATTGCTCCACTCCTTATCAGTTGCTAATTCTGTATCAGGGAAAAGATAGGTTGTGAAAAATCACATCTATGTGTGAAAAACTTCTTAGATTTAATAGTAGATGTAATCTACTTCTTAGGAAGTAGATTACAAGATTACAAGTCTTTGAGTAATGTTTAGTGGCATAGATAATCTATCATTTAAACCTGTGCACAACTGGACCCATAATTGCAAATAAACTTGATTTATTCCTTATTGGTTCACAAAGCAAACAACATTCACTTTAATGATATCATGTGGTCATCAGAGAGGTTCTAATTCTGAAGCTTCAGGTAACAATTTACCAAATTCTAAGACATACAACAGAAAAAAGATTAACAAAGTACTTATTATATATATTGAGTAAGGATAACCCTCTCTTCAAACTGGTACTAAAGAGACAGGACATATAAATCTTTCAAAGCTCTATCATCTGTGCTAATTTTTTTCAAACTCCTGTTCCTTTTATCATACTACCCAGATATTTTTTAAGAGTTTACCGTATTCTTTCTCTGATTTCTTGAAAAATATGTAATTTATTCAAAGAACACAGAAGCGTAAGGTTTTCAGTGAGCATTCTGCAACTCTTATCCATGGGTTTTTTTCTCCTTTTATACCTATGAACAATTAGTTGCTGCATCTTCCTCATCTCATCAAACAAGCTCTTTTCTAAAATATTTCCAGTCAGCATTATCCATTAGTATCAAACATCTTCTGTACTTGACACCTGGCTTTCTTCAGGCACCTCCTGCCTTCTAGAAAACTGGCTTTTCCAATGTTTCATTCAAAGAAAACTATGGAGATTGTCATACAAGACTATTTGGAAGAACATGAAAGACAGACTGAAGTGATAGTAGAGACAGACATACAGTGAGGATATACCCATCATGGTTTTAAATGAGCTCACTGTAGGCTGTTCAAACCTGTGAGAAAGCATTCAGGAAACCCTTTTTGCACTGACACTGCTTGGCCTACACTGTATTGGCAACAAGAAAACTCAAGAGCTCCTTTTATAAGTGAAAACTTGAGATTCTAAAGCACACAAAGCCCATCACATTATTAAAATACTCATCCAATCTAAGACCTACTTTACCATAAGATAATGTCTTTTGTCTAAAAGCTTCTGAACTCCCAAAGCAATCATCCACTTTCTGATTCTTCCTTTTCTTCCCTTTGGATTCATAGGAGAATGTCCTAGGGATTTTTTACAGACATTGAAGGAAAAAAAGGGCACACAACAGCCCATTAAGCTAATGAACCTTAGCAATATTGGCTGCAAGTGAACAGAAATAATTGCAAAGTTTTCCAGTTAAATTGTCATGCACAACAGTTTGCTTCACGGCTGTTAGGAAACATTTGCAAAAGCATGATGGGACATTGGTTTGTGAATTGCAAAATGCTGGTTCTCTGTGGGATGCATTGCCAGGTGGGTCACGAGAAAGAAAGATCCAGATCTTGGCAAATACAAAGTCCAGTCAGCACAGTACAAAGATAAAATGAAGAGATTACTGTAACTAGCAATGAGGTTGGATTAGGCTGACATACCTCAGCAACTTCAAGGACATTGTCCTTCAATACCTCCACATGGGTCTATGAGCAATTATTTCCACAGGTTGAACTATAAGAAAAGAAGCAAGCTGTTTGTACCTTCCTTCTGTATAAGCAGAATGGAAATGTTGGAAGCCTGGTACGTGACTGACTGTAGATGAAAGTGACACTGTGTCAATTGTGAAGAAAATATTTTTATTCAATAATAGAATAATATAAGGAAGACCAGTGGGACAAAGAAGCAATCAGATGGGATAAAAAGGCCAGTTCATGACAAAAAAGTGTAAGAGAGCAAAAAATCTGAAAACCCCACAACTAAGAAAACATAATCCCATTTTTCACTTTATTTCTACAGCAATCTGAATGCCATTGTCCTGGACTTCAAATTTATTATGGCCTTCAACTGTATGAAGGGCTATACTTTCTTGCACTACCTCTGAAATGGCAACACTCTCCTGGTATGAAGGGAATAATTAAATTTATCAAATAAAATATTACCTGAAATATCTCTTATGAGGAAAAAAGTAGCCTGGGACATGCTATCCCAGAGAAGACCAAAATGTAAGACACATGTTTGAAACAAATCTTTTTAAAATCATAATGGCACAAATAGAAGGCAAAAAAGTTTTTAAGAGGGAAGGGATCCTATCGGAACTACAGGTTCTGGTTTTAGTAAGTCTTGAGTACCATGGTTCTCTTGTTCTAGAAAGAACCAAAGTACACAATGCGTGCCAACTCTATAAAAAAATCTGTAATTGAAAATATTTAGAGGTTAAGATGACCTGGAGCAGGGCTCTACTGTGATCATAAGGCTACAAGATAAATGCAAATCTTAGACATGGGATGAAAATGCTAAACAAAAAACTGCATGTGCAGGCAGAAGAAAATAGAACTACCAGAGGATGCTAGATCCTTATTCTCATGGAAGTAGGTTTCTATCTATACTATAGCTAACCCAAAGGTACCAGTACAATCAGAGTCTATGCAGATTTGTGCCTGATGAGGCTATATTCTGTATGTTATCATATTCTATAAAATACAAGTTGATCTTTGTGTGCCAAATATATGAAGAGGCCTGTTCTTTCATCTGTGACACGTAAAACAGTTAACTAAAGACCAATCAAATATTATTTTAAACTGCTGTTTATGTAACATACTTAAGTAAAGATAAGCTCTAAGTCCTCACTTATGATCCTGCATCCCTTCAATGACAATGCTGAAAGACTGAGGAATGTAACATAAACAAAATGTGCATTCTGTAAAATGGAGCGCAGATATTTCTGGAACAATTTAGCTATTCACTAGAGTATTTGCTCAACATGCTATATATTTCTTGTCAAACTTTCTCTCATACATTTCAAAAAGCCTTCCTCGTGTACATTTGGAAAAAAAACTCCACTGGTTTATAAAGTATTAACTTTTCACCTGACTTCTTAGATGTTTTCTGTTTTGATGCTTGACTCAGTTGTGATTGATTAGATGAAAGCTTCTTATTGCTGCTACTGGAATATGAGGCTGCCTTTGCTTTTCGGCTTGTCTCCTGAGGATTTGCATATGCTGGTTCTGACTCCTCTGTCTGTAAGGAAATCTATCAAAACAAAGGCAGAGAGTTTTAAACTCAGGGGTGATCCATTAGTTTTATTTCCATTAACATCAGATTTTACTTCATTTGTCAAATTTTGCAAAAAATTATTCTGAAGGTGTTCTCAGATCTGTATTTAGACTCCTGTCACTCAAATTACTACTGTTACTCTGCATGAGACTGTGTTAATCCCTGTCACATCCTGTTGTAACTTTAAAACAGATACATTGTGAGAGGAAGTCAAAGCAAATCAGTATTGACCGAGAATCAAGTGCTCTTAGATAGTTTTGAGAAATGGATTTGTAAAGGATTCTCAAAACCTGACTGAAAGCTCACACAGTCTTGTACATCTGTATGCAAACTCTGAGATAAGGGGTGCTGACTTAGAAAGGCCATGGAATAGAGATGACATTGTTGAGAGAGATTGAACTAGAAACAAGTTTCAAATGATGGCCTTGCAAAAAGACCAGATATTTTGGAGAATTAGGACTGTGAAAGATGCATTGTAGCAAGAACACGCGGGGTAAAATAATAGGTGATTGGTGTTAAAAGTATTAGCAGCATTGTGCAGCAAAAGCCAATATGGTGAAAAGCATTTATAAGGTATTGTAACCAGGAAATGGGTTAGTTTCTAACAGAATGGCATAGAGTCTTACATTTCCTGTCTGACCTTTCTACGAGATTGATAATGGAATGAAATCTTTTAAAACTCTTCTCAGTTGCCCTGTCTCTGTAGAGCTAGGATTTTCCACTAAACAGTCTGAGAATGTTGTGCACACACTTTGTCTCCAGAAACCATGGATGTGAGATAACACAAATCAGTGATCTCCTCCCTTTTACAAAGAAGTTGCTGAGCTTCCACCAGTACTGCCCTTTTACTCTGCAAATGAATTTTCACTGTACCATTGCTGAATTACATTCCTGTCGCAATACCACCTGACAGCTCAGTTTCTCTACAACATTAAGTGGGAGGCAACAATTATGAACAGATACAGCAATAGTCTGGCCCATTTCATTTGGCCCATCATGAGGAAAATATGCTTTCTTTAAAGCTCCTTGGATTTTACAGGGAATATGTACCTATTCTTGAGGTCCATATGACATGAGATAGTAGTTTCTGAATAGTTTTACTCTTCGCTGTAGCCTCTGCGATAAGAATAGCCATTTTAATCTTGTTGTTTTATTTTTTAAATTTTCTGCCTTCAGAGAAAAGTTTCTAAGAACTTTATTACTGTGTTTTCCACTGAATTTGTTTTTCTGCTTTGTTCATGTTTAGCAAAATTTCCTTCGATGCTCCAGTATTATCATGTTGAGGTACACTTGCATTTGATTCTATCTCCAAAACAGGCCATATCATTAACTTCATTTTCTGATAAATTCCTTTATTATATACTAAAAGATAATTGTGCTGCTATGAAATTAACTGATTTCCTCTGTGCTGCTTTTTTGAAGTACCAAGAATTTGAGGAACTAAGAAACATGTGTAAAATAATGAAAAACTTCATGGGCAAAATAAAACAATAAATATTACTGAAGTGCTTTAAACTCGTATTTATTTTTGAAAATTGAATGAGTTTGAATTAATGATCTGCCTTTAAAACTGCCTTGCTTTTGTGGTCATAAACGAGAGCTCTAGTTTCATATTTCTGACAGGGCTGTCTGCAATTATTCCAGGAAATTATAAAGAAGGGTAAACAAAACTTCAAAACCTCACAGAATTAACTCATGGTAATCTCAAAAGCCATCTGGTCTAAAGGTCAGTGACTATCTAGCATTATCCTTCTGATTACTTTATACTGGAGAGAGAACCAGAGCACACATTGCAACATCTGACACAACTACTGAAATTATCAGTTACAAATCTATAGTAATAGGTTTACATAATTAAATGTCTACAGCACCAACTTTATCAATCATTCAATGTTTTAAAGCATAATCTAAGACTATACACCATGGATGCTGTTATACCGCAACACTTCAAAAGATGCATAGACAGTACAACTGTGAGTAACAAGGACAGTTATCATCACCACATAAAACTTCAAAAGCTCCAAAAGATGTCTCTATGCACACTACATCCTACATTTCAGATATTATGTTATCATTGTTGAAAGGAAGAAAACAGAGAGAGAAAATGCAGCTCTTAATGCTAAAAGCTGTTGCACTATATGCAAAGCACCGACCCAAGTGACTGATCACAGTCTTGTTTTTGCATGAAGCACCAGCTCCCTCATCCTGCTGAGACCTCACAGCATAATTGTGCAACCCCTACGCAAGACAGTGTATTCCCAACCCTTTTCTCTCAAAACCCAGCACAACTTACTCTACACGGAGGCAAGACATAATTATCCTACTGCTACAAGCCAGGCAAAAAATGGCAGTTTCAGTAAGGTTTCTGCAAGTACAAACAGGCACTGATGTACCACACTTCCTGAATTAGCTATGCAGCACTTGAAAAAACAGCAAGAACCACCATCCATGAGACACCTGCCTCTGTTTTGCATCATTATGAGGCTGTACCTTACTCCAAGTACTAGTGAGGATGAACTGTCAGTCTCAGTCCCTGCTGGACATATCTAAGACATTGTGTGCTGGAATTTAAACACACTTCAGAAACAGTCATCTGCTTTAGTTTACCGAAGACTGTCAGCAAACTTCTAACAATTTATGATCAAATCAGATTTCTTTGTAAAGATATACCTGGTGCTGGTTTGTATCTTCTACACACTGAGTATTTAACATATTCTTTGAATCATCTCCACCTGAAATGAAAATGAAAGACAGAAAGAAACCAGAACTGAAGAGATCATAATTTACTTTACATATACACTGTCTTATGTCTACAGCATTGCACATAACATTAGTTACAATATTTAGCTTTCAAGAAAAAATATCAAGCCCATAAGGGTTTTATTGGAATCTAAAACACATCAAGATATATTTATCAAATTTTGGAGTCTAATCTTTGTTGCAAATAGCATCTTGTTCAAATCATGTTTCAAATTTTCTTGATGGTTAGCGTCCTGAGCAATTCTTTTTGAAACTTAGCATAACCCCTGGCTCCTCTCTGTAAGACTTCAAGTGTGCTTCAAGAGACCCAAAGAATCTCAGAGCAGAAGGCTGAGAGCCCTCACTAGCACCCCATCTATCTAATCTTCATGTCACCTGACAGCTTCTCAGGGGCAAGCCTGATATTATCTCTCTTCAAGTCTAGTTTTGAGTTCTATCAATGAGCCCTGCTAACTTATGAGCAAAGGCCTTCTTCCTCCCCTGAGATAGGTAAATGCCATCTGACACCAGAAGGCCTGGGGATATCCAGACCGTCCCTTTACTGAAAAACCCAGAATTGTGGCAGTGACATTAGCTACAGAGTCACGCATTACCAGATGGGGTTTGTCTGCTTCCAATGTCCCTGCTCACAACTGAAAGAAGAGAGGAAAAAATTGCCTGTCTGAAGTCTCTTGACTATCCCTGGACTACATGTTAAAGCTTTATTGCCATCTATGTGGAAAAGCAGTAATGGATAATAGTCTGAGGGATTGGGACTCCTTTTGACTTACACATATTACAGCCCACACAGTCCCATGGGTGTCCATGGTCTTAATCCTAGCTGTAATCAAGGCTTACCTTGTACCTGATTCTGATCAAACAGCCTCCTCCAAAATTTCTTCACAATTTCCCAAGTTCCCAACAATGTACAAGACCCAACTCCCTCCTTAGTCAATTGCTAGCTGTAACCCAACTTTTTCCTTACAACCTCACTAGCTGTTACCTACAGTAATATTTTCCTGTGCCCAGCCCTATCAGTAATTAAGGCTTGGCAACCCCTAAGTTCTAGATCTAATAGTAGTTTCCCATTTTTTCTCTTATGGATCCTTCAAAATTCAGACTTCATGCATTTTAAAACCTAATTTTATCTCTATCTCTAAACCATATCTCATCCATCAGCAAGTCAATCAATGCTGCATCTTCCATTTAGATAGATAACTATTGTGTTCCACATCCTCGTTTCAACTTTAAAGCTAACTCCAGCCCAAGAAAGAGCTGGACACTTATACTTTGTCAATGTACAGCAACTGTGGAGGGTAAGGAGTGCTCACTGTTAACGCAAGGCATCAGACAATGAAGGCCACTGAGGTACCAGCAGTAATTAAGGAAATATAATCCAACAGATGTTCTAAATTTCTCCATTTAGCAGTGATGCTATGTCAGAGTAATTCTTTCCTACCTGCTACTGAGTATCTTCTGGATTTTGCCACATAACGTTCAAGAAGTTTCATCATAGATGGGTCAGAAGCTTCCTCTAATGCACACTTTCCCATCTGATTCTTTAATAAGGGATCAGCTCCATACCAAAGTAATAAGTTTGCCACCTAGAAAAATCAGTTTTTCAGGTAATTTTTTTTCTGATAGTATTTTTCAGAATCCTTATACAGGCTTCTCTCTCCCATACTTGACAACACAAGCAACTAAAATCAAATCTCTCTTTATTAGTTCATACACATCAAGCATTCCCCTAGATACATCATTATCCTGTAGTTCTATTATTTCTATGAATTGTTCCAGTTATTTTAACAATTGTTCCATTTTACCTGATACCATTGAAACAAAGTCTCTCAAAATACAGGGAGGGATTCATTCTCCCATAGCTCTTAATTGGCAGAAAATAACAGGTGATTTTAGGGTTTGACTCAGCTGATCCATCTACGGTATCTACTTTAGGAGAAAATAAACTGTGCTCTAGAAGTGTCTATTGTGACTCCTGTGATTGCAAGGGAAGTTTTGACAGCTATTTCTGCTCAAACGAAACACATTGAGATGGTCTTGCTAACAACATTATGATTTTTGTACAAATATAAAGCCTGAATCTATTGTTACTCAAGAAATTACCACTAGCAAAATCTTCCATCAAGCTTTGCAAAATACTTTTTTAAGACATGGGAAATTTACAGTCTGACTATTTTGCTTCTATGGGTAACTGCAATCTTATTTCAGCATTAATATAATTTTACTTGTACCTCTATATTTATTTCTTGAGCATCGCTTATCATTTTAGACTGAATTTGACTCACATCCCTCACCTCCCTGTTCAAGTCCCTCATTACTTCTAACCAGATTGCTAATGAGAAAATTGTTAATGAAGTTTTCCTAACTCATACATTCTCCTAACAAGAGAGAAAAATAAAAAGGGTTCAGCTGGCAGCAAAAGCCCTTTTTGGTTTCACAAGTTGTCCCAAGTCTTTACATTTTTTCAATCAGTAGCACTGAGAACTCTTCTTCCATAACAGGATCATTGAGAGCATCACCACATGGGTGCTCTCCCTTTTAACTTGACCACTAGAAAATCTTTTCTATGCTTACCATTTTTTCTGAAATAAATTGATTTTGCATATCGCAAGTACAGAAAATTATAAAGTAGTCAAAAGTTGTGTTTCCAATCCACAATAGTAAGTTCACACAGAGAAAGTAGCTTTGAAAAACACAGTTACAAATACCATGTTACTGAAAGTCATATTACTGAATCACTATCACTATTTTGTTGCTAGTTAAAAAACAACAAAATAGACTGTGACAGACCACTACAATAAGACAATTTTACTGCTACTGAGTAAACAGAGCACCACCATGTAGTACCATTCCTTCTAGATATACAGCTTGCATAACTTCAACTCAGCTCTGGGCTGAATGATCAAGTGACACAGTTGAGATCAGTGTTCTTCCAATATCACTCAAGTTGCTGGCCCGTAAGTATTACCTGCAGAGATGCAGAGCCCTTCATCCACAACCATGGGTATTTTAGGTTACAGTCACAAAACTCAGAAATATTTCATGAACCTGGAACAGTCTGTCATGCACAAGCTGCAATTTATTCTTGGGGCTCTCAAGTCTCAGAAAAAATTATTAACCAGAAGTCCACCTTTCCCCTTTGCTCCAGACAGACTTTTCCAGGAGAAACAAAGTAAGTCTCATCTCAGTTGTGAAAAAGACCAAATGTTCAGGAACAAAACTTATTAGACACTCCCCAAAAAAAACCTTTAAAATCTGGAAATCAGGAAGAATTAGGTAGCATATAGCAGGTCTATAGAAAAAAACTGCCAGCATATAAAAGGGACACACAGAACTCCTACACAAATTTGGGCTACCCTAGGAACATGCACAGTGAGGTGGAAGTGACCACCACCAGACTGAAAGAGAATCTGCAATTCAGACACAGGCTTATGAAAACATTGCATTTGGCAAGAAATTTTACCATTAAATCAAACTGATTATTCAGTTAGTGTTCAGTTTAAGACCCTACAAAATATAAGACTGTCTTCATAATCCTCCATGTTCTGTGTTAACACATGGGTGTGCATGACTGTGATGACCTGCCATATATCCATGACTCCTATCCTAAATCATGAAAAAAATGTCATTAATAGTCCAGAAGACTGCTCAAATCAGAAGTTACTCTGCAGGGTGACTACAAAATCAGTGAATGAAGTAGTATTAAGCAGTAGCAATCTACTCCTCAGTAGTACAACCATTGTATGAAACAGTTAGAAAAAATTTCTCCTTTTGGACAAATCTTGTTAAGCATGGAGCAGTTTGAATAGAAACCAGGCAGAGAGGACTTGCAAGCTCCTGAATTTACCTATAATCTAAAAAGACCAGCCCTGTACAAAAACATGTGACCTTCTGGACTCAACAACAATCTTCTCTTCCTAAATCACACTTTGTGTTCAATTCAGATATACCTCATAATGGCCTTCCTTAACTGCATCTTGCAAGGGTGTTATTTGTTCCTTTTGTGTAGCATTAACATCAGCTCCTGCTTTCAAAAGCAGATTTGCTATCCCATAAAAGCCTTCCACACTTGCTATATGTAGCGCAGTCAAGCCTACAAAAAAAACATGTATATCACATTCGGTTGAAAAAAATTCTAGAAATTTATGTCACTTTTAGGTTCTCTCTGATGAAGACTTCACAGAGTATATTGAAATGGTAAAAACTGATGCATTCCAGTAAGATGTATGAAGAAATGTTTATGAGAATGTCACAAGGGTTGGGAGATCTCATGTTTTTGGCAAAATTTGTAGCTACTGAGGAAGTAGATGCTGTGGTAACAACATTAGGTTTAGATTTGATAGTTCTGTTATGAAAGCACAGAATAGAAATTATTAATCCCATATTTTAGTAACTTCTTCTGGAATAAAATATATATGCTATTTTAAGGACAAAGTAATTTCTCACGGCACTCTTTTATTTACATGGCTATGCTGAAACGGGTAAGTAAGAAACAAGTGACAAAATAAAGACATTAAGTATTTACTACCAAACAAAAATGTTTGTAAGGCCATCCAAGAATTGTTCAAGTGTTCAAATAAATGAAAAATCCCTAGTAAAATTGCATATTCATGCCCAGGTATATGGAAAAAACCCAAGATATCACATGAATTCTACTCTATGAAGGAGCTGTTTAGGAAAAATATGGAATGCAAGTCTTTGAACTAGATTTAGCATAACCATGCATCAGGTCCTTAAACAAGCAAGGTGAAAGACATAAGGGAAACACACAGAGCATTTTCCACTTCCTAACTTCCAGCTCTGAAACTAACATGCCCTCCAGAAGATCATTTTGATGGATAATCTTGATCTTCAACAATTTTCCATTATTACAAGTTTGTTTAGGGCCTAATTCACATACTAAATAAGTGTATTAATAAAGCTTAATAAGATTTTTTTAGTCCCATTAAGCAAAATTATCTTAATTTCACTAGAGGGAAACTCTCGAGGCTCTTTTACACACAACCCAACCCTGAATATTGTATATTCCTAGTAACTGGGTTTGTTATATTAAAGAGATAATAAAAATTTGCATTTAGGGGAATGTACTAATTTCACTCTCAATAAAAAGTATACTCTACCTAATCTAGTAATAAGACCTGTAAAAACTGAAATTGCCACACATTCAATTAATAATCCCTAGAGATTAGCAACATGAGTCTGCAAGGACACTGTGCATACTCCAAATCAAGAAGAAACACAAGTTTTTGTGTAACTGCTTCTCAGATCCCTCAGGACACTGTGAGTCAAGACTCAAACTTAGAGTACAAGACAGTATCTTTAATATGCTGGCCATATCCTACATGCTGATGTCCAGGAAATAAAAAGGAGGAAAAAAAACCCAAAACAAAACAAATAACAGAAGATCCCAAAAACTCAGTAAGGTACTGAAGCAGAGTACCATAGCATAGGAATAAGGAAAAAATACTAGGCTAAGATACGGATAATCATTGGGGGAAAGCTTTAAGAAGGAGACACAGAGGCAGAATATAATACTCCGAACAATGACCCAAAGAAACTAAGACAAAAGCACGTGCCAAAACGACACAAGTCTGTTAAGTCTTTCTGATTACACCCGCGTCACTGAAAATAAAAGAAGCAAAAGAAGCAGGGCCAGGTCAACCTCTTATCTTTTCAAGGAGTTACAACTAAAAGATATCTTGTGCAGCTCTGCTCCTTTTGCACCAAACAAACCAGCAGCCATAATCTAGGGGATGAAAAGATGGTGGCCTAGCAAAATACACAAAGGCAGAAAAAGCAAGCAGCTGTGACCCCAAAATCTAGAACCATTGCATTTTAGTACACTTGCCTACTGTGGCTGCAGCTGAACCCACACTATCAGCACTTCTCAGCTGTCAACACAAGGTTTGAACCCTACCAACAAAATATTTTCTCCTCTGCCTCCAGCACACGTTAGTACATACTACAAGTCACTCTGTTAGCTCAAATGTCTCTGCTATAGAAGTCTGAGATTTGCTGCTGAACCAATCTATCTCTCAATATATTCCAGAAGACAGAGAATTTCAACCTTAATTCTGGTCCATTATATGCCTGCATTATGCAATAGTCTATAACTGCAGAATGTGATTTTTTTCTTTCCCACAGGACAGTTGTGAAATCCTAGCTGCTAGCACAATATGGAACGACTGTAAGAATGAAGTTTTCTAGCAGAAGAGCCAGCTGTCTGAAACAATTTTTTTTTTTTTGTTATGGAAATTTTTCAGAGACTAATGGATGAGACAGAGAAATGCAGATTAGGAAGAGTCCTATATTTGAAACAACCAAGTAATAATTAAGGCATAGTGAAGTCTTTGACACAGAGTAACACCCACAAAACTGGATAAGACCAATTGCTTTAATCAAAACATTAACAGATGGTTGCTCTTTATCAAGATTTTTTCCCTGCCCAAGACAAAGAAAAAATGGAAAACACCAAGTAACCACAACTTTAAAAATTCAAAGCTGTGCTCAACTTCGCTCAAGATGTAAAGCGTGAAATCAAAGTTCCTGGAAAAATTAACAGGAAAAATTATATCCTGAAATCTCAAGTTGGCCCCTGAAATGGACAAAAAATACCCCCCAACTTTAAGACCTGTGAAAGTGATTATTTAGTGAACTGTATTTAATGACTGTTTTGTGATAAGCATGCATGGAATCATTGAACTAAGGCATGTAAACCTAATTGCATCACTTTGTAACTTTTTCAAGTGCTTAACTTCTCCCTCAAAGTTTTCTCTTCTTGTACACTTTTATAACTAGATCTACATGTTTTCCCATGAACAAGTACTAAGGTAAACCAATAAAAATTTAATAATCAGATAACCAGTTACAAATTTACAGTCTTGTCCACTGCACACACTCATAATATATGCTTTTATTAGTTATAGGCAGGTATTTGTACTGAAAATAGTATTTTAGTACAATTGCAACTTACCAGCATAATCCTGAGCATTTACATTTCCACCGGCTTTTATTATCTTACGTACAAGGTTTATGTCTTGGTGAGTAACAGCTCTATGTAGTAAGTTCTCACCATACACATTCCTCCTGTGGATTGTGGAAAGTGAAAGGGGACGAGCTGGATTTACGGAATTCCTAACAAAGGCTTCTCGTTCTGAAAAATAATGTAAAAGATCTGTTGCACAGAGAAGTACCTTTTCTCTCTTATCTTGGCTTCACTTTATATCAAAGTTAGTAAATAAGCTTCCTGAAGAAACAATTGTTCAATCAATCTAGTAAAAAGGAAAATCTCAAAAAAAATCACAAATTGAATAATAAGGCCATTTAATAAAAGATGTCATAGTGAATTTCATAAGAAAACTCCAACTGAAATTAAACACACAGAAATAAGAGTATGTAGAAATGTTTTAACTTCAGACCTTTTCTTTTCTAATGACATTTTTGCAAGGTGCATTGCTTCCCAATGGATAATAAAATCACTATTTTGCATTAAAATAATAATGTGACCATTTCAATAACTAGTAAGTTATTAAATAATTTAAGTTTTCTTAAAAGTAAAATTTATGCACCATTCTTTTTTACTCTTCTATCTTTTAAAGTCTCTGCTTCATGAGAAAGTATTTACACTAGGATTGATATTAGCTCCCTCAGGTTATCTTTTCTCATTACTTTACAACCAGCTCAGTCATTTCTGCAATGAATGAAAGGCGAATATGAGGTCTAAATGTAAAAAGTAAAATTTAGAAGAGACTGCTTTTAATGTTTAGTTTAGTATTTAACAAAACAAACACTATCTCCCATTATGAAGTCATCACACTTTTCAGCTTGGCTTAAATTATTTCCAATTCACAGATGAGCTGCTCAGTACTTCACCAGCACTGCTATTCCAACATCCCTTAAAACTGTAGGGAAGAGTATCCTGGCTACTGCCTCTAATGAAAAACAAGGAGGAAAGAAAGAAGGGAAGAAAGACCAGGAGAATCATTTGAAGATAAACATAGTGCAGGCCTAGGCCATTAATTAATCTACTTATAAAAACTCCTAGGACTATACACATTGCTCCTCTCCACAAACTGTATCAGGTGTGCCTCACAGGACCTAAAACTCCACCCAGGTGCCAGTGATGCCTTAAAGAACCTAGAAATGAAAAAAACACTTTCAAGGCAATATTAGTTTGGGGGATAATATAAAGGCTGTTCTTTATTGGAGGCCTCCAGGGGCAGATATGGAAAATCCACATCCCCACATGGGGTGAATACAGTTTTGTAAGTTTAGTAAATTAACATAACTGACAAAAATCCTCAATTAGAGACATAAGTGGTGTGGTAATTCCTGCCCAGTTCAACCCTTTTCTGAATCCTCCCATCTCAGATAGGAACGAAATTTTGTTTATAAAATGTGTCTCAAAGAGCTGGTTTCAACCTTGGCTCCCAGGAAAAACCAAGATAGGACAGGGGCCTTAGACCCCCAGCCTGGAACCTTTGGAATGTATTTTGTCTTTCTGCCTACCATGGTAGGGAAAAGGTAGGGAAAAATAGTAGGACTACCTATGAATACAATAATGGGCTACAATGCTACATATATATGTGTAAAGAATATAGAGAATGCATAAAAGTAAGAAAGGCAAAAATCAATTTGGTATCACCAGAAATAGACATTAAAACCCATAGTTCTTCTAGAGATGTAACTCACATAGCCTGATGTTTTGTGCACTGTGATACACTGTGAGCTTGGACTAATTCCAAACATTCTTAAATTCCTGATTCTGAGTAGATTTTTAGAATCTAATAGATAGGGGTTTCCCTCAGCTGAGAACACAGTCGCTCTCTGCTTTCCAGCCTTGTAAGACATCAATTGTTTAAGACAAGCAGTCACTAGTCAAAGCTGGTCTAAACCAGCCAAGCAGTGCAGGAGGGATTAAACTGCACAGACATAAACAGAAGCATGTGCAGTTTTATGTTACACTTTACCTCATTAAAATCTTCCTTGAAGGGATCTATATCCCACTACATCCACTTGCGTTCCCTAGAGCTTTCCATGCACCTGACCTTGTGCAAAACAAGTGACACATGCAGACCCAAACCAAAACTTATTATGGGGCAGCTTTTAGAGTGAATTACCAAACTAAGATAACTCATGGGCTCTTAAAAAGTCTGATGTGAAAGGGAGGTAAGCTTGCTAAATTGGTTTACCATGAAGCTACCTCTACAGACAGTGCAACTCTTTCTGCAGAAACCATGCTAAAGAATCAGTAACTTGTTTATTGAGTGGAAAATAGCAAGTTGATTTGAAATAGATGAGCAGTTAGTCATTCAACTTTAAACCTCATCAAAATGGTGCTTCCACTGTGAATAATTAAAATCCTGCATCAGAGAATTAAATCCTGTTAACTGGAAGTGGACTTCATGTTTTTCAAGATCTGTAACATAGCTGTTACAATTCAAATACTTACAAATTTTGTAAGATGTTTAAATGATTGTAAGAAAATGAGAAAACCCAATTTGAGTGGACTTAAAACAAAACAAAATAAAAAATCAAAAAATCCAACAGGTAAGACCTAATCGTAAAGGTGCTGGAGTGAAGACTTGAGTGAATAAATTCTTTATTCTCCCACAAAATTCCTCTGCAAGGCCAAGAACTTCTCTGCATGTACCTTCAAAGGATGAAAAACAGCAATCTGTGCCTCTAACAAAGAATATTCCAAATAAAAATACTTCAAAAGAGAAAAGAGAGTGCTCTGTGGTAGTAAAGGCCCTCTAATCCTGTAGACAGGGTAACAACAGCAGGCATTCAAAATAGAATAAACCATTTTGTATAGGTAAATTCTTGGGGATGGCACTGCTCTGACTATGATTTTGCACACAACACTACACGGCAGAAGGAAAAACAAATGGAGCTCAACCAGTTCAACCCAGTTCAACCCTTTTCTGAATCCTCCCATCTCAGATAGGAACGAAATTTTGTTTATAAAATGTGTCTCAAAGAGCTGGTTTCAACCTTGGCTCCCAGGAAAAACCAAGATAGGACAGGGGCCTTAGACCCCCAGCCTGGAACCTTCTTTATTCTCCCACAAAATTCCTCTGCAAGGCCAAGAACTTCTCTGCATGTACCTTCAAAGGATGAAAAACAGCAATCTGTGCCTCTAACAAAGAATATTCCAAATAAAAATACTTCAAAAGAGAAAAGAGAGTGCTCTCTGAGGATCTATGTTTTCACTCTGCACAAAAACAATTCTCTTCTCCTTTTCAGTACACACTGTATTTTTTCATATAAAACACTAATAAAAATTGCATTCTGAAAAACATCTCATGATTCTTATGCAAACAAGTTAATCTGTTAGGTTGCTAATATAAGGATTTACAGAAGAAGGGAAATTATCTATAACTTTAATTATTAAAATGAATGTTTATAACATATTTTAAAAATAAAACCATGCCACAATATATTGGAAAAATTATGAATTATATTTAATTCAGTATAGTTGTTCAAATAATAATCTGTATTATAAAAACATAGAGTATCTTACTCTGTTTGTTGTCAATTCTCTTGCTCCTTCTCCTTTGATTAGCTTCTGCATACTCGTTCAGAATTATTTCTTGCCATATGATGGCTTCTAGATCCTGCTTGTCTTCAGAAGGAGATTTCTGAATTTTACTGACAAGACATTTGCTTAGAATCAACAAAAATATTCTTTATATAAATCAATGTCTATAGTAGAGCTAAGAATATGAATACATTTGATTTCAAAAGGAACTCTGTAATAGCAGGCTAACTTAGGTAGTATTGAATAAGGAGTAAATCAGGAGAGAAACTAACTCCCAGATCTTTAAATAAAGAGTAAAAATATTTCTCTTTGATCATTTACAGTCATTCAAATGACAAATGAGTACTCCACATGCATTGTATCTATTACATTAATATATATAAAATAATTTAAGAATTATTATGCATAAATTTCTCATACCTAAAATGCTTAGCTTCATTTCTTTTTATACTGCCACTGTGAGCCATTCTTGCTGTTTCTTCCAGAATTTGGTGATGAGAGGAAACAAACTCTGTACTTTCCTGAGGAGGTCTCACTTACCTTGATGCTGTTTGGGCTGTTTCTCCATATGCTGCAGGCTTCACTGAATATGAATGTCCCTCACCAGTTTGTTTTTCACTAAAGGTGGCATCCAAGCAACCTGACATTACTTCTTCCTCTCTCTGCTGACCACCCACAGGCTGTGACAAAAAAAAGAAATATTAGAAGCAACTGGTAGACATGAAGTTAAAACAAAGGCCATATATAAAAGAGCTCCAAGCACACTCTTTTTTAAATTGTATGCCCACAGAGAATTGAGGGATTGCTTCAGTGAATAACTGGAATTCTACATTCTAATAGTGGCTACCACAGGAGAGGCAATCCTGAAGTAGTATGCCATGCAATGTGTTCCTGGCAGAATTTACCAAAAGAATTAGGCTACTCAGAGTCACAACTTCAAATATAAATCTAGGGTGGATGACAGCAAACAAAAATTGTTCTATCTGAAAGTTATTTGATTGGACATTTGAAATGACAACAGATTAATTTCAGTTTCCTATGGACATGAGCTCCCATCCTAAAAAATAAGATGATGCTTGAGATTTCTTAAGATAGCCCATACTATCTCACTGCTGCAGAAGCCTAGAAAATTTACACAAAGTGAGATCCCTGTTTCACCTGAAGTTCAGTAACTCCCAGCTGAGCAGCTATTTCTAAAGATATACCATCCCTGAGCTACAGCCACTACAGCTGAGATTCACTTCACTTATCTTCAACCTTCTAAAAGCCAGGCATGTAGATGACACTAGGCATCCTCATTACCCCACCACTTGTAAAGAGGAAGAGCTACTCCGAGAGAGAGATTCATCTCATCTGAAGTTGTGCAAAGGGGAATCTAAATGACTCATATATACCAGAGACTTAACTCTAATCCCACGCTAAAGACAGGTCACTGCATGGAAGTTAATTGGAGTTGCTTGAGTTCATTCACTGTTTTAGCTATGTGACTGGGACATGCTGCCATGAATCACTCAAGCTCCTGAAACCTGGGTTTAATTAGTTTATTACATACTTGAGTAATGCTGAAAGCTTTCGGGACACACCCTCAGCACACACGCATAGAAATTCTTTCACAATGATGTGGGAGAACTGGTTAGTCTTTTTTTGCAATACAAACAAAATGGAGAATGCACTGATTTATTTTTTTTAATTGTCATATTTAGCAGAGACGTTACTAAAGAGGGGAACTGCCTTCAGAGAAGTGGTGCCTCTGAGTCAAGAGGTAATGCAAGTTAACATGGGCTGTGGGGTCGTTTAGCCTGAGGAAAAGGATTCTTATCAGCACCTTTAATGCTGTCTACAACTACCTGAAAAGAGTTTGTAGTGAGGTGAGGGCTGGTCTCTTCTTCCCGGTAAAAAGCAATAGGACAAGGGGAATTGGCCTGTACTTGTGCCAAAGAAGGCTTAGATTGAATATGAAGAAAACTTTTTTCACTGGAAGTGTGGCTAGGCACTGGAATAGGCTGACTAGGAAAGTGGTGGAATCACCATCCCTGGAAATGTTCAAAAGACAGGTGGTTGTAGCACTTGGGGACACGGCTTAGTGGTAAACACAGTGGTTCATGGCTGGACAATTGGACTTGATGATCCCAAAGGTCTTTCCTAGCATTAATGGTTGTATGGCAGCTGGGGAAAGTCAAATATATTATTTTAGAAAACTATCATAGTTGTACTTTCCATGGATCCACATCTGCAATTGGGAGCAGGGTTAGAGAGGGAGAAGAAAACATTTCAAAGAAAAAAAAAAAAGCCACACTTGCTTTATAAGAGACCATATACTAAAATATCCAGCATGTAAATGCAATCAGGATGCTGGCATGTCCAGCATCCTGATTGCATCTACAAGTCAGTAAAGACTCTCCTCTTTTGGATACTTGTTTCAACACAAAAATACTGCAAAGAAAGAAGGGTGAGAAAAAACCACGGTAAACAGTATACTGTTAAAATTCAACGGTTACTAACAAATTAACTGTTTGTTTTTTTTTTCTTAGTAATTTGCCTCCTTACCTTCTGCCTTTAAGAACAACAGATAAAGGCACAAAGAAAAGATAAGGTTGATTGCTGTTTGACAAGAGGGTAGAGATCTTCATTTCCACAAGACTCTGCCTCTCAATTTTAACTGCAATTTTGAGTAAATCTATACATTAATCTTCACACAGCTGTGCTGCAAATTTCAGAAATCAATACATTACTGAAAGAGCTTTGTAAAGTGCTATGGTTCTGAGACAATTAGCCTACAGACCTTTCAGCACCTTGAAATTAGCCATCTTTGTGGCACATTTAATGTGCCACATTTATGTGCTGATATATTCAGTTAATACTACCAGGAAAAGACAGAATTAACTCATAGTTTTTGGATGCTTTATGCCATTGTGGGTTGTATAACTACCTTAAATAGCCAGCTTTACATGCCTGATCACTGATTAGCAGCTCCAGATTATTCGAATACAATACAGAGCATAGAATCACACTGCAGGTTTACAAGAGATGCTTAATATAGTTTGCAGCGTAAATCTGTGTCTCCTATCTGTCCTTCTCTTTCCCTAATTATAATCTAAACAGGAAGAAACTATGGCTTTCCTTTCATGCTCCTCTCCATATTTTTGCATTGGTGTTACTGAACAGAAATGACATGCTACAGAACACCTTCACAGCACAAGCAGCAACAGGAAGGATCATATGCTCTATCCGTACATACTGGTTTCTTCAGGGAAAGACAGGAACATAAACGCATACCTCAGTTTTTTCAGTATGTCTTGCATAGGCAGAACTAAATACAATAAATAACATTTCTAAATACATGTGTAAAAATCCCCACAGAATAATCTTTCTAGTCTATAGGAAAGACATAGCTGTGATCTATTTTGTAATACTTGCAAAGCATGTGCGTTTACAGCAGTGAGAACTATGACAAAAGAAAACAGCACACTATTGCCTGTACCATAAACAGAACAGGATGCCGTAGGAACCTGGAGATGGAATTGGCTGGTATATATCAGTATGCTACAATGAAATAACAGAATGGTGTTTTGGAGAGAACATGAGACACAGAAGATGTACAGGCGGTCTAGGAGTTTCTGAAAAACCCAGGCTGATTCTAGGTTTCCACATCAGTCAATAAATTAACTTCTCTAGGATTTCCCATCCCAGCAAGCTTAGCTATTTTCATAACATGAATACATCCAAACAGGAAATAAAGTACTGGACTTTTAAAACAAAAACAACTGAAATTACTTAAACATGCAAATTACTGATGCTAGTTTATTCTTTACTAAGATTCCTGTTTTCGAGTAATTTGGATGCGTCATATAATATTTTTATGATAAACATAAAATTTCAAATATGAATTAAACTGTGGTTATACTTGCTCATTTGTTGTGCTCTGCAAGTTAGATCCTGTGAAGGCATTTATTTCTTCCACCTGAATTGCAGCAAGTCGAGGCTCCATCACATTTGTTATTTGAGTACAGTCATCATCTACCTGCAGAACACTGGTTTCTGAATTTAGCTGCTCTTCCTTGGCGTTGAGCTGTCTCTCATTTGGCATCAGAGGAATGGCAGGTTGTACCATCGATCCTGACAAGGCATTCAGAGGCACCACAAGCTCTACTGGCAGGGCATCATTGCTCTCAGCTGCTGATGGATCAATGGAACAGGCATGACCCTGACACTCTAACTTGTCAGGCCATGGGTTTTTAACTTTAAGACTCTCAGAATCACTAGGGTATCTCAACAAATCACTGATGTCAACTTCACTAGTCTCTATATTCAGTTCAGTGAATACATCCATGAAAATCTTCCCTAGGGATGACAGTGAAAGATCTGTATCATTATTAAGGGAATGCTCTTTTACTGTGTTATCTGCGTCAATAATGGTCATGCAGGTGCTGTGGCAATAATCTAAACCACATGGAATTGTATCTTCTGGTGTCTGTTCCTCTTGAATTGTTATGATGCCTTCCACAGGATCATGTAGACAGAGGCTTATTTCTGGATAGCAATCTTCATTACTTAATTTTCGTGATATCTAAAAATTAAATTTAAAAAGTTTACAAAAAAGAATGGAGCAACTCTTACTAAAAAGCATTTAACTAAAATTCACTTCAGAAGTCATCTCTCTTTCTTTATACATGTGTATATTTATTATGAACTTTTGCAAAACCTAGAAGACTCAAAGCCTTCCTTCATACGATATACTAACAAGATTTAGACCGAGAGCTCAGTTTCAAAAGAAGTTTCAACTTCAGCTGTTGACTTCTATAGCAGTGAAAATCCAGGGCAGAAGAGACTAAATCTGTTTTAGTCAAAGATATTATGTCATTACCAATGGCAATAGCAAATAACCTGAGGTTGTTATAAGGCTTTAAAAGAAAGTCACCCAAAATTTCTGTCCCACAGAAATAATGAAAGCAAACATATTCACAATAACTTTTTGATTATATGTTTATGTCGATCCAATACAGATATAGAGGATTTGTGTCTCACAAACTTAAGTTCAAAACCTTAGGATTTTGAGAAATTTGTATGGTGTGGTTTCCACACTGAGTACAGAGCACAAAATCGTAACTGTTCTTGGAAAATTAGTACTGCTGTTTTTTCTAATCACTTTGAGGTACATTCAACAGAAGCACCCTTTCTTACATGAAGAAATTGTTTTTCTAATTTTTCCCCATCCTTGTCTTAAATGCTCCACAGAAAAAAAATATGATGCCTCCATATGCCTAAATCATATTTTTTCTATATAACATTTCTATATAATAGTGTTTGTACTTAGTAATACTGGATCTAAGAAAATCTCTTTCAATGCATTTTTGGAGTCTTGCTGCCAGCAAGTGGCAATACCAGGCAATGCAAGAAACCTTTAACCACTGGTGACATGATTTAGATAAAGCTCACACACAATAAAGCAGTAAGGGCAGAAATCTGACTGCATACACCCAGGTTCAGTTTGCAAGCTAGTTTAAATCCCTGTTTCTTTCTTGAAAAATTATTCCCCTGCCAGCTGTTTCCTATCTTTTATATGTGCATCAAATTGTTTCTAAGTACTGATTACTTCTTACTTTTCTTTATTGAATTACATTTTATTTTTACACCACTTCTCTAATTCATCCAGACTTTAGTGATAACTTTCTCTACTTGAAGAACTATGGTATAAACAGCATGTATATGTATGAGCCTAAGAAAAAGACTCAATGCATGTGTTGAAGAGTGGGTGAAATTTTGCAAGATTCTAAAATCCCCAAAATCAACTGAAATTCAACCCTTAAATGTGACATGTTCACAAAACTCCAGACACAGAAGTCCAGGTGGGGTTCCACAAGAGCAGAGTAGAGAGTCCACCAGGATTCCAAAGTCTTTCTCTGGCAGAGCTATTTTCCTGTCAGCTAGTCCCCAGCTGTACGGGTGCCTGAGGTTACTTCTCCCCAAATGCAGAACTTCTTGCATTTCCCCTTGACGAATTTAATGAGATTCCTCTCCTCCAAGTTTTCCCATCTTTTCAGGTCCCTATGAATGACAACACAACTGTCTGGTCTATCAGTCATTTCTTCCAGTACCATCTCTGAACTTGCTGAGGATACTGTATGTTCCACTTTCCAGGCCACTAATGAAGACACTGAGCAGTACTGGCCCCACTATTGACAGACCAACCACAACAGAAATCAGTGCTGCTACATCATCAAACCAAGAAAACTCAGCAAGACTAATTGTGAGGTGTCAGAATTCTAGGCACAGATAGTAATTTATAGATTTTGTATTTTCAGGGATACACAAAACCAAACGATTCAGTGACTCACTGCTGGTTGTCAAGGTGTCTGTCCTGACCTTGCTTCAAATAATACATGGAAGCCTGTGATGGTCAATGGTTCATCTCACTACAGATCCTTCTGCAGAACTCAGACCTTGCTTAGGGCCACATCAGCCAATATCCAAAAAGCAAAATCCACTGTAGTGATTATTTCCAGCCTTCTTACTCCGGGCTCCTAAAATATCTTCTCTGGAGATACTCCCAATGCATTCAATCTGCCTATTCTCCAGAGGTTATTAATAATAGGCAATCTCTGTTTCAAGGCATTTAGAGTTTTTTCTATGGGACTAACCTTGTACAATGAGAATGTTTCATTTAATAAACTTATAGTTTTATATTAATAGCTGTATATTTCCAGAAAAGAATATCCTTAGAGATTTCATTTTTCCCCCTTTGTTCTGAGATGGAATATGTTACCCTGTCATCACTCATATTTGCTGGAAGACATGAGCAATAAGGACAATAGAAAAGAACAGCATTTTACTCTGATAAGGACAGAGGAATAGAACAGCACAGTCTTGGAGAACTAGATTAAGGATGTAACTTAGGCAAACAGAAGCCATACAAAATGTAAACAGGATGTTAGCTCAGTTCTGCAAGCCTGATGAAGCAGAGGTTATGTAAAACAATGATACTGTGCTTACTCAAAAGTAGGGGTCAAGGAACAGGCACCTAAAAAGGACATTGAAAACACCCAAAGAAGACGCCAAAGAACCATACTGTTATGGTTTGACACTGGCACAATGCCAGTGCCCCCATGAAGATACTTTCTCCCTGGTTTCTGCTGTGAGATGTGATCAGGAATAAGCAAAGCAGGCTCCTACTTAGGAAAGGAAAAAAAAAAAACCAGAACTTTATTAACTACTCTACAACTATAGATAAAAGGAACACACACAGGGAAAATGAAAACCTTACAAATACATTTCCTCCTCCCCCCACCAAATTTCCAATACAATGCACCTATTCCTCAAATCACCAACTCTCGGTCCAGCACCACCTTTTAGACAATCAATCCTCAGTTCATCAAGAGGAGAGGAGTCCTTCTTGTACCATGGGCTTCCCCTGGAAACACAGCTGAAGCCTCGTGTGTTTCCGTGTCACTCGTGGCACTGCCCGGAGTGACATCTGCCATCGTGACCTCTTCCTTCCATGTCCAGTGCTCTCACCACTGAACACGGACCAGAACTGCTTCTAGGGTTGTCTTTTTTAAGGATGCTCTGTCCCGTTCCAAAAAAGGCACAGTCTCTCCTTTGGGACACCTGTCCCCACAATCTCTCCTTTGGGATACCTGTCCCCCCCATATTTTTTCACCCCCTGGGGCCGAGGGGCACCAACACTGAACCCTCTTGGTTCTGTGGCCATTGCCTCCCCCTAGAATGCAGTCTCTGTGTCACAAGGAGCATGGTTCTGTCCATGGCTGTACAAAAAGAGTCCAGCAAAAGCCACTCCATCATCTCTTCCCACTAGGATTCTTCTCTATTCTTCTACTATCTCTCGCTCGCCCAGACCTCTCTCACACTTGCACATTTCCTTCCTCATCTTCCACTCTATCTTCTAGGAGAGGTCAATGATCTGTAAAGTTCTCATTCTCTGAAAAGGGGTTAAAAGCTCCTACAAGCGGCCGGCTGAACCCTCCCCCTTCTTCTCCGTCCCAGCCGTGCTGCCGGCACAGGCCCATGTTTATCCAGTTTCAAGGTCACAGTCTCAGGCAGCGGCTCTCTCTCTCTCTCTGTGTCTCTCAGGGGGGGCTGCCCGATGGCTCCTGGTCTCTCTCTTTCTCTCTTCCACCCTTCCACCCCCAGGCTCAGGCCCACCTCTCTCGGCCACATGGCTTTCCCCTCCCCCTGCCCAGCCAGCAGCTGGGCCGGGGCAGAGACCCGAACTCTTTCCCGCTGGAAACCCAAAAGGGCCCTACCAGCGGAGAGCTCTGCTTTTAACCCCGTGTTCTCAGAGGTGGATCCATGTCCTAAATGGCCAGGTTAAATGCCAATATTAAAGCCTGAATATCCATTGGCCCAAACACAGCATCCCAAAAAACACATTTCCTGTCAAACCACCACACGTACAAAGACTTCTGATAAGGGGTGCAACTATGTAGATGAAGTAATAGATGTACATCAAGTAAGGGGGATAGCTAATGAGTGCAGGATTGGTATGTATGATAAAGCCTGTTCACCCGACACTCAGGGCTCTCAATGGAGTGAAGGATCACTTTGAGCTACATTCAACACATCCTCCAAGTGACCACTGCTGCAGTAAAGAATGACTGCTCTCAAATACTCACAACTGTGTTAGAAAGTTACTATCTGTCCAATTTTGGTATCAATACTGGTCTCAAATCTGCCTTTGGTGAATTTTACCAAGAACTGCTTTTCCCCTGACATAAACCTCAAAAAAGGATCCTTGAAAAATGCCAAGTAAAACTGATTTATATAGAACCCTAACTTTTTATTTGTAGGTACAAATCAATGGGACTAGATGACACAGTCATAATGATAGGACATCTGCATTAAGCAGAGTCTTTCACAGCAGAAACTCTGCTAACTACCTATTTCTGACCACAAGTAAGACTCTCCCAAACAAAAGGACAGTTACAGATAACCTCTTCCTCCTCAGAGATCATCCTAATGCATTGCCTGTCTCATAGCTTTCATTGGTGGGGAACATTTTAAGCTACTGAGTGTCTTCATTACTTTAGCTTAAGTAACAGCCCTTACAGACTCTGTCTCATGATGATGTCCTTCCCACCTCACTTTCACTGCCATGCTTCTACCCTTGGGTACTGCAAGCTTAGCAACTACAGTTCTTACCAAAAAACCAGAAAATAAAGCTTAGCTTTAAAGATGTTTTCAACGTGCTCAGTGTCAGTGTAAATAGCTATATGCTTGCTTACCTTTTCTTCTGAATCCTTTTGAAATCCATTCAATTTGATATCTAAATTTAGGAGAATAGAAAAATATTTCAGTTTTAATTTCCACTTATGAAAGTTCTTATCATCTCTTAAAAATGGCATAATTTCCTAATTGAGGCTTAAGTTTCAAACCTTAAAAATTACTATAGTCATGTTTCCCTAATGGGAACTAACAATAAAATCTTTGGTTAGGCTCTGTTAGTCACCAAATAATATGCCAGAGCTATTCTGTCACATTTCTTCACTGTAATTTAGAGTCCTGTGTTTCCAAAGACTATCAGGAGATGGAATTGCCACCCATTTCACATGACAAGATCTAGCCTCTGCCCTCTCTAATTACAGTGCAGTTAGACAATACTGCTAAAACAATCCAATACCTTACTGCCTCTGGATAGCGATGATCCCAAACCCCCTGATCTCATCACCTTGTTTCAACATCCATGTGACTCCCTGGCAATTTCCTAATCAGAAATAAAGTGAATGTTTTTCTGTTGGATTACCAAAAATAAACTCAAGGGGAAGACAGCAAAACAGATCGGTTAGTTCTGCACTTTTGGGAACACTGAGGAATGGAAGGACAACTTAAGTAGCAGTACATGCCATACGGACCTGAGGAACAGTAGCATTTTTGTTTCTCTTTTCTTACAGATGCCTTTGATTCTTGGGTATGTTAGAAAGAAGCAAGTAGGAACCCTCCATGACATTTTTACCTTACACATCTTTAAGGTATTTAGGCATCATGTGGCATGTAACCCTTGTCAGAAAACTCCACAGCAATGAAATAACTTTAAATTTGATACATACAACTAGCATGAGAATACAGTTATTTCTTCCAACAATCCTAACACAATACTTACAAAAACAGAACTTGCAGTCCATGACTATAAAAACTGAACAACTTTTGTAAAAAACATGTATAGTCAGATTCTGCATAAACTTAACTGGACACTCACCTTCAGCTTATCAAATTATTTTATCAAATGATTTTGCCTCAGCTGGAGCAACTCCTAGTTTTGTACAAATACAACATACCTACAGAATCATTTTGCTGTTCCTCTGCTGCAGAATTTAATGAAAAATGAGGCGTAGGTGATGAATGGTTTATCCAATCCCTAGGATTAAATAATACAATAAAAAAATTCTTAAAGAACTGCAATCTGCTCATCTTAGGAACATTTTTACAGTACTTTGAATTGGCTGCTATCTGTGGAAACAGCTGCAGTTATTTTAGAGGTCCTTTCTTTGCAAGGACATGCAATAAATAAGACTTCTGGATTTCCTATGTGGAGCTAGCAATGTTTACACATTTGTTCTCTAAGTGAAAAAAAAATGGCCTTTTCTCTTCTTTATTACTTCTTTCTATATTTGTGTTATAAATCTATCTTCTACTGAAAACTTTCCATAGTTTCCAGGAACAAAAAGCCTAATATTATTTATTATAAGTTTTTAAGGTTTTCTCCAAGTTCTGTTATTCTTGTTGGTTATGTTCTTAAACCATTTAAGGTAGGACCATCAACACAAATAAATCCAAGTACCGCTTGGTCCATACTGGACACTGAACTATTGCCGACATAAATACAGATCCTTTACTAAGCAAACAAGAAAACTGTTCCTCAACAGAACACTGGGAATAAAATAACGTACAAATGGAAGTATAACAGGATTATTTAATTACATTATGCCTGACTGGAATTCCTATGTGATGCACTATACTCACTTCAGTAGAGATTGAGACTGGTCATATGTGCATGCCTCTTGAAGTACCTGAAAGAAGAAAAAGCATAACTAGTTAGTAAGTACTTAATTGTTTATTTTCTCAGTTTAATTGCAGGCTTATCTTCTTCCTTCTGTAATTTAGTTGGGAAATAGAATTCTTAGATCAAATTATTACATACATTGCTAAGAAACAAAAGCATTCCACTTAAACCTTTTTTTCACTTGTACTATTTGACAAAAATGTTGAAAAATAAATAAAGACTACCGAATAAAACATTCATCCACAAGGAAAACAAACTGTTGCAACAAAGATACAATTGCTCCAAACTTAACATGTTTTATAGACTAAAGGACCAAAACACAAGTTTTTTAATTTCAACTCACAGTTTCAATCTTTCTTTGATAACTTTTTTTCATTAAATAAGACAGGGTGCTGTTCCAAAGACTGTCATGTTTAGTTTACTGCTCTCAATATCCCTATAAATTCCATATTTAAGGAACTTCAAGACTTGCATATCAGCCAATTCTGAGTGGCAGGGCTACCACAAACCAACACAGGAAAGAACAGGTGAGTAAGGAGAGCCCTGATGTCACAGCAGGAGCCAAATTCCAACTCCTTATTACAAAGACCTCAGATCTCCTTTTCGTACCTTTGCCAATAATGCAGAGATCTCCCTCAGTATGGAAAAAGAAGCCTTTATACAAAGTCTAGGGCAAACTAGGAATGATTAAGATAGTCAAGTGAACTGCAGAATGGTTCTTGCACCATTTAGCTAAGACTGAGTATTACTAGTGGACTATGCACACACTGGCTGCAATTTTAAAATGAATCATTGACTTACAGTGGACAACATTAACAGCACTAGACGACTCTAAGAACACCTTGGAGTGGACACTATGTGACAATTTCTCTGGCTTACACTAGGTACTAGCCACACAGCAAGAACAAACACCTTAACAATTGCTTTAAGAGCAGGACGTAGGACTGCTAAAAGGCTCCCTGGAACAGAACAGATTTTTTAGTTTGCACATCAATTACTGACTGATGTAATTCCAAAACATGGTAATTAGACAGTTCCCAGAAAGTTATTTATTTGCTTACATAGACCCTTCAGGTGAGTCAGCCTGAATATTTATACAGAACATTATCCAGAGATCAAGCAAGGTCAGGACAACACCAGAGCAGCTACTAAACCTCTCTAACTGGATAACATTGCTTAGAGAGGTGCTTTAAAACATCAGCAAACTACCACTACAACTCAGATAAAGACGCTGTTTTGTCTGCTAAAAAATTAGGTTCTAAGCAAAATCAGCGTATTGGTCACTGGTTAAGAGATCTTCTCAAACCATATACATTACACAAACTGTACTTCTGGCCACTGACTGAATACTGGGAACAGTATTTCATCCTGCCCTCATTTTTAGTGAAGAAATTCCTGCAAAATCTCAGTAGCTTTTCTCATTTGAGCACTTATTTATATATTAGGGGACTCTGGATGTTTTCCAAAAAAAGACTAATGCTTAAAAGCTGTTAGGTGTTACCTAACAACTTTTGGTGCACTTCACCAAACACTGTAAGAAAAAAAAATATAAAAAAGGGGAAAGCACAAACTTAAAATTATTACATCTGTCTGATCTTCATTATCTGTTAACATGGTAGAATACCATGCTAACAGATAATGAAAATTACTTGTTGAAAAGAACCTGGATCCTACAAAATCTGTATATATGTCTACTGCATCTCTGGTAGATGAAAATTCTTATTTACAATTTTTACATGATGGAATCAAAGACAGGACTGCATATCATAAGTCTCCCACAACCCATCTGAAGTACAAAGAAAGCTAAGACTCTCTGGAACAACTGGAACAGATGTTACTTTTCCTAAAAACATTCACAGCCATTTATTCTGCACGAACCTCATATCAAATCACATGCTGTGATCATATATGCTGTATTCATACATGATAATTTCTGAGGACAAACCAGAAGGAAAGCTTCTATGATAGCATGTTCCATGTTGGCTCTTGAAGCGGTTGAAGAGCCACATTGGTGCTATGTACACATATGGGTATCAAAGACAACAGGCCAAGACCACTCCTTACAGTATTCAGTAAAAGCTTAAAATTTTAAACTGTCCCCAAGCTGTGCATGACTAAGCTGCCAGTGTCTTGCTATACAGGTTTCACCAAAACAAAAAATATTAAGAATTACCCAAACTATTTGGTGAAAAATACTAGGTTTCTTTGCTTTTCTGACTTTTTCTTTAGTGGACTGGGCATTTGTCCTATGACTTGGGAATAGCTAATCTGGTGAGAACCAGGAAGCCAAAGGCGAGGGTTAAGAAGCAGCTAGTCAGATCATCTCCCAGAGGGGAAAGGGCAAGAGGAAAATGTGCACTTCTCTCATTCCCTTCATCCTTAGAAAATCATGATGAACTTCAGTCAAGACAACCCTCAGACACTGAAGGAGCAAAATAATGTTATGGAGAAAAATTTTTGAAATAACAGCATCTTTTGGATTTTGTTCACTGTTTCTCACACTGCCAGTTGAGACAAATTTATTTTCAATTCTAGAATGAGCTGTAAAACATTGACTTCAGTAAAAAGCATGTCTTCTTTCAATGTACCTTTTGTCATCTAGGAAGCAGTCTAGCTCTTTTTAGAAAAACTCTCTTTTACCCGAATAAGGATACACAGACTTAGGCTTTGGACTGGTGAATCCAGCTAAAGACAGTGTAACAGTCACAGTTAAAAGCAGAGAACCTGTTTGTCTCTAATTGTTTCATGACCCTGCCATATGCAGGTGGAAAGCTAATTGCTCAAGTGAATAGAAGTTTTATGGGCAAGCTACCAACCATGGTAAATACATTAATACAAAAAAATACATGGTCAGCTAATTAGCAAATTAGGGAATGCAGAATTATCCATAGAGTAAAATAACTACCCCATCATCATACAAGCAGACAATTCATTCTACATTTTGGATTGTTATCAATTCCTTTTGAAAGAAGCAATTGATCAATCACTCGACCACAGCTAATTTCATATTGAGTAAACCAGGGTGTATTCTAGCATAGTCAACCCAGACGATTACCCTTCAGCTCCTGAAAGGAATGTATTAAAAAGTCTGTGCTCCACAACTTCTTCATCTTCGTCCTGGGCTTGTTCCCCAAATTTAAAAGGTTATAATCTCATGAAATACCAGAGAAGACACTTTGATACATTCCTGCAGACTCTGTGCTATGTAGCTGTCAAGATGAAGTTCAATTCAGCTGTAAGCCACCAGACCTCCTCAAGGGGATGCCCAGCGGGATTATCAATAATTAATCATTAAATATGCTTAGAGAAGACATTACCATTGGTGGACTTACTGGGTTTGTCTGTTCTGCCTCATGATAATATGTGTTGTCACCAAATTTCTGTATAAAACAGATTTCTGGAGAAAAAGCTCCTAGAAAAAAAAAAAAAAAAAACAAGACAAAAAATCCTTAGTAATTATAATTTTGATTGTTTTTATTTCTGTGTAAGTTTCCATGGTTCCATAACTTTTTACATAACTCAGTAACTGAGCTACATGCATCAAAACTTCTGATATGCAATGGATTTGACTGGCTACATAGTCTATCATACTAGATTTTGAATCTGCATGAATGAAATAGAAATTAATAAAACAAGCCAGCAGTGGAAATTTATTTCACTTAGTGTTCCAGGACCACCCCTGATTTTTCATTGGAGATTACGTCTTATTATTTTTTAAACTAATAACTGCAATTTTGGTAACCTGCTGATCCATATGACTAAAATATACTCCTAGACAGCATCATTTCTTTAATGACCATAGAAATGAAGATCTTCTCTCAAAAAAAGTTTAAAAAGAGAGAAACTCTTAAGTTTGGATCCTATGCTTGAAAACTAAGATGTTGTTACTGACACTAATGAAACACTAATCAAATTAATATTTATACTGTGTATCTCATCACCAAATTACTACTATACAAGTGTGCACAAAACTGTGAATGATGAAATTCTAATTCAAACTTCCTAAATATAATTTGATGCAGGCAGAATGCTAAAAATATCACAATCTATTACAGTTGCAGAGATATATCTCACCACTCAACTGTCAGATAAATTCCCACTCCACAAACTGAACACAATCAAACAGACATGCCCCATGTATGTTGAATGTTGCAAGGATTTAGTTCCAGTGGACAACTACAGGGAAGTTCAAAACTAGATGATTCTGCCCTCCTCACTTAAGATTATTAAGCAACTATAAAAGGTTCAGCATTAGGAAATCACAGCCATTGGAGTTTTGCAGATTTCAATGGGCTGAAGGTAAGATTTGAATTAACTCAGGGCAGGTTGATAAAAAATTATGGCTTACTCAGATCTTCAAACTGGTAAAAAGAGGAACACAACCAAATCTGGAAGAACACCATGTGTCACTTAAAGTATTCCAAGTCTGAAATATCACTGAAATAAAACCTATAGGATGCAAGTCAAATGGAACATATAAAAATGTCAAGGAAGTAATATTAAACTATTATGTCACTAAAACATGCTTGCTCATGTAGCCTGCTCTACAGGAGTTATTATGGAATATTTTAAGATCTTAAATGAGTGTGCATTCATTCATGCTGAACGTATTTAATGATACACTAAACATAATGCACTGAAATATCCCTGCTCAAACTTTTTATGTTAAAGAGAAACTCATAGTTTTTATGTTAAAGAGAACGGATATACTAACAATATTACTGGGGTTTCAAAAATGCCATAAGCAGCTAGAGCTACATACAACTGTTATGCATATAGAATCCGTTTATTTTATTCTGCACAAACACATACACAAAAAAGCATTCATGTAAATAAAAGCAATATCCCTATATATAGCTCTTCTCAAACCAGGGATTCTCAGCCACAGTGCACAGGAAGAATAGAGAGAACTCAAGAGCAAACCTGATCAAATATTAAAAATACGCTGAAGAATCTTTTAAAATATGAGCTACAATTAGAATATAATCAAAGAGCACACAGTTCTAAATATGAACTTCATGCAACACCCAAGTTTAAACATGGACTCAAGCAAAATCCAAAGCAACAGTTTAAGGAAAAAAAACAACAGACTGAAAAAAGAATCTGTCCTACCTTTATTGATATTTATCTCAGTTGTTAAAGCAATATCCTTGTTAAGAAAAGCCAACCTTTGCAAAATAAATAAAACAAAAGGTCGTTAGGGAGCTGCAAGCATTGCAGTCCTATAAACTCAAAGGGCATCTCAGAGCGCCCATCCCAGCCTCGGCCGTGGGGACACTTCAAGGAGAACTCTGACACAAAGAGTAAAAATAACCCCAAACTCAAGGCATGTAATGTGATTTTCTGCATAGAAAACCATAACTAGGGAGGCACCTCGCTGCTTTAAGTATTTCCAAGAACTACCGTGTCACAAAGCCATCATAAAGGTCTGCGTGTGGTTTCAAATCCTTGCCATATCTTAAAGGATACAAGAGATAATGCCATGAAAATGACATCAAGGCAAAGTTGCAAGGAAATAGAATTAACACAAACTGTATTTAATAGTGCTTATTTTCTCAGAGTTGTTTTCTGGGACATTTCACTTCTTCTGACTAAAATGTTAATAAAATGGTGGGTCCGGCGACATAAGCCCCGAGGCACAACAGGTGTGTGAGAATAGACGGAACTATTTGCAGAGCTAAGAAATGCTGGGTCCAGGAGCATATAAAACGGCCCTGAACAGAGCGGAGAAAACAAAAAATAAAAGAAAACAATCAGAAAAGAAGGGAAGGGGAAGGGGAAGAGACTCTCAGCTCGGGAGCGGCCCCCTCAGCTGCCGCCGCCCTCACACACGTAGGTGGTCAGGTGCCGCTCCCAGCCACACCGCATTACCACCTCCTCCTACGGAACTCCTCTTCCTCCACATCGCTCTCCGGCACAGAGCCCTCCACGACAGTCTCGTCGCTGTCCGTGTCGCTGTCGCCACCGCTCCCGCGGCGCTCCATGGTGCGGCCGCTCCGCTCCGCCGGCGCCTCCTCGGGCAGCCGCCCTCCCCCCTCAGCGGCGGCCGCCATCTTGTGGCCGAGCCTCGCTGCCCCTCGGGTGGCAGCGGGCTCGCAGCGCTCGCCAGAACCGCAGAGTCCCAGCACACACCGTGTTGTGTGTGATCAGATGGGACTCACTTCTCGGAGTGTGTGCGCTTCTGACGTTGGCATCTCAAGAGTCAGAAACTGTCATTTGCCCAGAGAGTTACAGAGAGTGAAAAGGGGGTTGTGAAACAGTGTCTTATCAGTGAAAAAGGCCAGACAGCCTCAAAAGAGCGTCCCTGAATGAAGGATAACTTGGGCTTTGACTGCATAGTCTGGGGTCTTAGAATCAGAGAATGTTAAGGGGTTGGAAGGGACCTTAAAATTTATCTAGGCTCAATCCCCTCTGCCATGGGCAGGGACACCTCCCACTAGAACAGGTTGCTCAGGGCCTTGTCCAGCCAGGCTTTGAACACAGCCAGCGTTGGAGCTCCCACAGTCACAGGAACTCTTTCTTCCTAATATTTAACCTAAATTCCCCTTCAGTCAATTTGTACCCATTGCTCCTTGTCCTATTACTACAGGTCCTGACAAAAAGTTCCTGTTGAGTTCTTGGCTACTGCTGTGCCTTTTGTCACCTGGCTGGCGCCGCAGGTGCGGTTTGTATGCAATGGATCGGTGCCAATTCACGGGCTCTTAAGTCTCGAAGTGAGAGATTTCGACCAGTAACTCACGAACCACCATCTCAAGAAACCCACCTACCTGAAAACTGTGAGCATGCAGAAACATTAGCATGAGAAACAAGAGAATAATTCAATCAATTCAAGGTAGAATACTAATTAATAAGAGAACTAAGTAACTTGTAACCAATGATCTGTGATTTATATGTTTGCTTATACATATATAGATATATAGATATTGCAAATTTTCAAGGATTGGTGTGCTTTATTTGTGGAAAACTTCACCTTGTACCCTGCACAGAATAAACAATGTCTCCTTTCTAAACTATGCTCTGCGTCTGTGTTTAGAGAGTCCCTAAATTGGCAACACTTCTCTGCCATTGTTAAATAGCTTACTTCATTGCTACCAAGGAATGGTTCGTGTGCTCATGTGTGGGAACAAGTTTGAGATAACCAAATTATTAGTTGACAGTATTTTCAGCATTTGCAGTAGCACTCTTCAGTGGTCGTCTGCCAATTACAACAACGTTTTCCTCAGGCAGAGCCGCTCTGGCTCAGCTTTGCCTGCCATCTCCTGGGCAGGGGGGCAGCGCTGCCCCCGAGGCCACTCTAGCACACGGCCAGGCTGGAGGCAGGCCACCGCCAGAGCTGCAGATGCGAGAATTCAATGTCAGCACAGGTGGTGACACGAGCTCCTAGAGACTATAGACCCCAAATCACCATAGTGACGCCTGCTCCCAGTGACCTTGGTAAATTAGAATTTTTAGTATTTGCCAAATCATATCTATGGAAAAAGTGAAAAACAGAGCAGAAATACTAAAGGACATCTTAAATGATATGTGAATTACATATAATTGTTGAAACTGTATGAATTGATGTTTTGCTTTGGCTTAGTCATATGCATATGCAGTTAAAGCAATTGGTGCACATATTAACATTATATTAAAGAGTCCAGAAATCTCATTGCTAATACTTTACACTTTTCAGCTAATGAAGGTGAGATACTGAAAAAAACACTTAAGAAACTATCAGGGGAGATGGATATGCAGCAGTAAATTATTAAGTTTTAGGAACATCATATCGAAGACGAGAATGAAAAGTGTATTTACAGGTTAAAAGAGCTGGCACGATTTCATCACAACAACTACTTTGGGTGGAGTTCTTCAGAAACCTTTTCATCAGCACTTCCTTTTTTGAGGTTCACATTAATGTTTCATGGCACAGTGCCATGTGAAGCTACTAGAAATATTTTCAAGTGAGGTGGCACATGTAAGACGCAGTCTGGGGAAAGCTGGGGCGCGGATCATGCACCGCAAAACCGCTGCAGGTATTTGTATTGCAGCTGAACATACTCAGCCCCAGGAACACGGAACGGCCCCTGCCACCCTGTAGTGCTGTTTTACAGCCCCGTGACTCGGTGCCCAGGAGAACCACACAATCGCTAGAGATGGAAGGGACCTCGGGAGACCATCTAAAGACCACCTAGTACAGATTACACACCAACGCGTCCTGGTGGGTCTCTCAGAGCTTCCTATGCTTCGTGAACCAAAACCTGCACTTCCTTTCTGGCCGAAAGCCACAAATATAAATATATTACTTTGCCTTTGCCTTCCTCCCACCACTTCCCCAGGGAGTCAGGGGCACCGCTGCTTCCCAACAGCAGGAGCTAGGAACGTAAGGTGGGAACGAGGCTTTCCATGCCTCGGCAATGCGGTATCATCGGGCGGTATCGGAGGCGCGCAGGGGGCCCGGCCCCGGCCCTGGGCGGGCCCGGGAGGTGCCGGCAGCGCTCCCCAAGCCGCCCAATCAGAGGGCGCGGGGCGGGGAGCGCGGCGCCCCATTGGCGGGCGGCCGATGGCGCGATGGCGTGTTCGCCGCTCCTGATGGCGCGTGGAGCCGCGCGGCGCTCGCCGGACCGTTGCCGCGGCGATTCGGCGGGTGACGCGCGCGGGCGGGGCGTGCCGCGCGCTCGCCATTGGCCGCGCGATCGGGCGATGGCGGCGCCGGCGTGTCCTTGCGCGGCGGGGCGGGGCGCGGCGCGGGGCCGGCGGGACGGAGAGGGGCCGGCGGCGCAGTCCGGGGCGCGGCGGGACCGAGCGGGGAGTGCGGCTGGAGCGCGGCGGTGAGCGGGGAGTGCGGGGCTGCGGGTGGGGGGGCCTGGGGCTGGCAACACGCGTCCGCCGTGCCGGGCGGGCGGGCGCCGGCTCCGGGCCCGAGTGCCTGTTCGGAAAGGCGGCGTCGCTATCGCCGCACGTAGGGAGTGGCGGCTGCTGCGCTTTACCGCCGCCCTGGGTGGTGTGCGGGGGATGCCCGTGTCGCTGTCCCGTTACCGTCCTGACGCCGTCGGGCTGCCCGCGTTTCGCTTCTTCGACAAAAAATGCCTCTCTGGCAGGGTGTCTGTGCTGTCGTGTGCGTTCCGGGTGAGCTGTGCACAGGTTTTCTGTCGGCTGTTATTGCCGCTTGGTTGCTGTAGGTACTGCTGAGTCAGATAGCAGGAGGTGGGAAATTAATGCTGATCGAATAGATGGTGTTGCAGAGGACTGCTCTGAGGTTAGTAAGAGCTGTGTAACAAACCTTAAGAATTTAAGAGGCAAGTCGTACTGTTACGTGGGTGGTAATTGCTCTAAACGATTACATACAACCGGTCTAGTTTGCTTTTTACACTCTGGTTAATTTTTGAGGGAGTCACATTTGGGGTTTGTCCATATTTTGCATTCTGTTTTTATTCTCAAAATAGATTGCTTTATTTTTAGAAATTTTTAATTGAAAACAATAGCAAACAGGACTTATAAAGCATCCCTTTTGACCCAACATTTTGAAACTCAATAGAATTACACAGATGTTGAGTTTAGGTTTATATTTAATGTTATATCTTGCTAATTCCAAGCTACAAGTCAGTGTGTGTGCATAAATATTTTAAACAGAAATACCAGCTGATGTTATGCATTGAATTTTTTTACAGCACTGTAGTGCAGAATCACTGTGTGAAATCATCAATATTTTCTAGAAGTGTCAACTGAATAGTAGAAAGCATCCTGCATTTTGGGCAGGTTAAATATACACAAAAACTTTAAAGAATCCTTTTACGTTAGGACTTAGTATCACTTAGTTAACCACAAGATGAGTGATGAGGCATCCTGTATTTCAGGATAGCAGCAGTTACTAATGCAAGTAAGATACTATGGATCATTATTTTAATAAATGAATTATTGCATTCCGCCATACACAATTAATTATGTGAAGCCATTTTACTTTTACTGCTTTTGTTTAGAAGTAGGAAAACAATTTCTCAATAAAAGATTCTGAAATCTTTTGTTTTTTGATTGTCAGATAATCATTCTAAAATGAAACAGGTGAAATAGGTGTATTAGCAGTATTACTAGGTTCAGGACTGGTAGAACACTATAAAGTCATGTAGTAACTGCTAGTTATGATTTTCCTGAAATAGAGTGGTATTCAAAATTATTTGTGTTTTCAGAGGATGTTCTGATGCCTTTTCTATTTTTTGTGTTGTTTCAAAATCTTCAGCACAGGTATTCTTCTGGCTGGGTTTTATTTTAGTTTTCCTAATTAAAATGTACCTTCCATTGTGCTGAGGAAAAATTATAATACCAGTGTGAAGCAGCTTTGCAAGAATTGCGTAAATTTTCAGAACAGAATGAAGTGTATATGATATAGAGAAAAAGAAGGAATAATATCGACTTTAAAAGGAGGGCATTAGTTTTTTATTTTATATTTTTAAAAAAACATTCAGTTAGGAAATGAAATAATTTGTTCTTAAGGAAGGCAGTCTTCACAATTATTTTCCAAGTTTGGCTCCACGAGCCACAAACATCCTGTCACACCTTCACTGTGGAAGAATAAAGAAAAATAAATAATTGCTGTTGGTGCTCATGTGATTCAGATTGGTATTGGTAGGAAACCAAGATGATTCTGGTATCTTCAGGAGCACTTAGCCAGACAGATTTGCCTGTCTATTATTTTCTCCATTGAATGTCGGCTTCATTTTTGATGTCCAAGCAAATAAGTAATACCAAAAGTCCTGTGGATGGATTGTTGCATTTAGGACAGCACAAATGGATTTTTTTATCTTCTTTGAGGTGGTGGTATGTAGAGCCCTCAGGCCTCCATGGAAATCTTGCAGTAATAGATTGGTACATGTAAATTGCAGATTGTCCCTGTTAGCCAGGCTATTAAGCATTTTTTAAACTTTACAGTACACTTGTATAAGCTGTTGTTTTTGTGCAGTGTGGAAAGGAAAGTCCAGTTACTAATGTATGTGAGAATGTTATGGCATTTTATTTCTATGCCTTAAAACATAAGTAAAGATCTTTGGCAGACTTGCATAAAGAAACAATGCAAAGCAGATAGACCAGGATGTGGTCTGAAGGACGTGTTGAACATTCATATTGTTAGTTATGTGAAGGACAGCTGTGAAAATTTCTGGTAAATGTTTGTTATCTGTTGGAAGCAGAGGGATGATGAAATGCACCAGTAACCAGGGAATAGTAAAGAGTAGAAGAGAACTGCCACAATACTGTTATGTGAGGACTTGCATGCTTTAGACAAAGAAGGAATATTTTTGAATTGTAATTAATTTGTATCACAGAATAATATTGAACAGAAAGTAGAGAAGACACAGTCAGAAACATAACATTGCAATTCCTGCTGTTGAGTATTACCAGTAATGGCTAATTGATAATTTTTATAGCTCATCCATATTTTTGACGGGAAGAATGAGTACAGAGAAACAACAGAATTTGGTGAGTGCTTACATAGAAGGTAAAAACAAGGATTTTGAGTCAAAGCAGTATCAAAATTGTATGATAGGAAGATTTTGAAAGATCTCATGAGAGTAGTGAGGCCTTACTGTTAGGAATTACAGAATGTTCTGATGTGGAGGGACCCACAAAAGTCATTGAGTTCAGCTGTTGAATGAATGCCCTTTATTGAGATTGAACCTTCAACCTTGGCTTTACTAGCACCATACTCTAATGGATGACCTAATCCCAGTGGCAAAGACCATGAAGAAACTAGGAAGATGGGTAGTACAACAAAAAAGGTTGAGAAGACAGGAGCAGATCACATTGTATTTTAGAGTATTAGAAATAGATGTGTTTTACAAGGATGATTGAAGGAAAGGTAAAGATTAGTTTCTTTACTCTTCTCTGCCTTAAGTGGTTTTGCTTTTATTTCCTGAAGGATGTTTTGCAGGAAAGTGTAGAGCTGTGTCTTTATTCACTGAATCTTGTACTTATATGAAGTATTCCTTTGCTGCAGGTTTGCAAAGTATAGAGAAACAAGCTTGAAAATGCTGTCCAGACTCTTCCGAATGCATGGCCTTTTTGTAGCCTCTCATCCATGGGAAGTCATTGTGGGAACAGTGACTCTCACTATCTGCATGATGTCTATGAAGATGTTCACTGGGAATGATAAGATCTGTGGCTGGAATTATGAGTGCCCCAAACTTGAAGAAGTAAGGGTTTAAAATAATATATTTGGTGTAAGGATTTAAAATAATTTTCTTTGGTGTTTATCAGTCCCTCCAGGGTTTTCTATAGAATATGATCAAGCTGTGATGTATTAGGAGTAAAGTAGCTGTGGAGAAGCTTCTTCATGGCCTTCTTTTCTTATTTTGGATATCAAAGCTGTATGCAAACAGTGATGCAATGACCAACCATTTTAGTTTTTTAGTATTTTTAGTTTTTAAGGCAAGACTAACAGTGATATTTATTTTATTCTGGAACTTAACTTTTAATGCAGCTTTACAATGAACTTAACATTTCACAATGGATTTCCCATAGTGTAAAAGCTAACTAAATTCCTTTGTATTTCATACAGGATGTTCTGAGCAGTGACATCATCATCCTGACAATCACACGCTGCATAGCAATTCTCTATATATATTTCCAGTTTCAGAACCTAAGGCAGCTTGGATCAAAATACATTTTAGGTATTGTATCTGATTTTTGTATTTGCTGTATGTGTTTTAATTGTGGGGGACGTTGTTTACCTGAATTGGTAACAAATACTAACCTTTTAATCCTTATGTTCACAACAGCATTATTTTAATTATTTTCTGGATAGCATAAAAAAGCTTTTGCATGTGTCAAAGTACTATTTTTTTTTTTTAGTGAAAGGTTATGTAGGATTATATAAATACTGAAAATGTCATTCTTGAAATAACTGTTATTATGTGAAATACTTAAAATTGTAGAGCTGTTTAAGCCAGTTTTAATTTTACTTAAGATTATGGCTTTTATTTTGAGTCTTACTTTGAATGCATTACAAATTTTAGGTTTTAATATCTATAAAAATAGCATCTCCTTCAGTTTGCGTCTCAACTGCTGTTAATGCACTGAGACGGGAATTATCATTCATTGTTGTGATTCATCTAAAAGTGGGGGAATTCTGGTTTTTTTTCTTTTCCTTTTCTTCTTCCTATATATAACCAAAAAAATTCCTATCCTCTTGTTTTTTTAAGGTATCGCTGGCCTTTTCACAATCTTCTCAAGTTTTGTTTTTAGTACAGTGGTAATTCACTTCTTGGATAAAGAACTGACAGGTTTAAAGTAAGTAATGAATTGTTATTCTGGATTTCATGCTTATGTTTTTTTTTTTCCTGTACCATAAACCTTGACTTTTAACATATGCCTCTTTCTTTTTCAGTGAAGCTTTACCATTCTTCCTGCTTCTGATTGATTTGTCAAGAGCAAGTGCATTAGCCAAATTTGCACTCAGTTCCAACTCACAGGTCAGGGGAGTTATTTTTGAGGATTTTTTGGTAGTTTGGTGCTTTGCTTTAGGATTTTTGTTTGTTTATCTTGCAATGGTGGTTTTTAATTTAATGTTCAGAATAGAACATTGTCCTATGGCAGGTGATTAGAACCCAGGTGAGCTTGAAGGTCCCTTTCAAGACAAGCAATTGCTCATACAATTTATAATTGTATGAGCAATCCAAGTGGAGAGACACACAGGCAAATAATGTCTTGGGGATACATAAATAACAAAAGGATCAAATTCTATTCAGATTCTCTGTTCTCTTGTCTTCAAGCCAGATCAGTGTTCAAGCGAATAGTAATATGGTAAAACCAGTGTGCACAGCCATGGGCATTGTTAATTGTATGTATGAGCATGACTTCATTAAATTGGAACTTTAAACCAGCAATGCTTACAGCTCTTCCAAGGAGGCTAAAGTTCCTAGACAAAGTCTTCCTTAAAATGGTTACTGATAGTAAAATAGTTAATTTCTAGGACTCAGGAACGGTATCTAAAAGACACATCCAATGTTACACTGTTACTGTGAAAAGAAGCATATTTTTCGGCCAAATGTTAGCAGAACAAATGTAGCATATGTGCAGACAAGAACATCCAATACATTTAACCCAACACATTAGGAGAGATTGACAGGACATCTTGCTTGTTGTACCTGGTAATGTTTATTTCCTAATAGTCCAAATTCTGAACTAAAAGTATATTATCTGGGATTACTTTGTGCTTACAAAATACTGTACACGGCATTTCACATACTAATTGTGGCAAAACGTTGTGTTATATTTTAATTTGGTGTATATTACAATGTACAGTTTCTATATATGCAATATAATGTGTTCTTTATTATTTATGATTACTGCAGGTACAGAATTTTTTACTATTTTTTAAGAGAATATTTTACAAATAGGTTTCTTCTACAGTTTTTTTCCCCCCTGCTGCCCTAAAAATACCATCACCAGGAAAACAGTAGCAAACTCTCTAGAGTTTATCATGCCTGCTTTCAGGAGGAAATCCTTTTCTCCCCAGCAGAAAGCTTTAGTGCCTTTTGTGACCTCTTTTCTATCAGCTGAGTCTACAGAGTTAAATATAAAATAATAAAGTAATAGTAGTTGAAGTACAGATATGTGATTGTAAGAAATCCATGACACAAATTCCTTCAATTTCATGTCTTCAGGTTTAGAAGTGGTGTTCTTTTGAATTTACTGTAACTAGTGTCTCTCCCCATCAGTGTTGTAGAAGCTTAGAATACTGATGAGGCAAAGGTAGAAAATTAAATGATTTTGTGTCAATAGACTGTGAAAGTATAATAACTTATATATAAAGTGTAATAATAGAGGAAATAGAATAGATTATCTGTATGCTTTCTCATAACAGTTCATTTTGAATAAATGTTTTAGAAGGCCCTACCACCATAATACTACTCTGTTTACTAGTCATGTTATGTATAACTTAATTAGGTTTTTGTTTTCATGTTAATGGACAGAAATCTTTCTTTCTAGGATGAAGTAAGAGAAAATATTTCACGTGGAATGGCAATATTAGGCCCTACGTTTACCCTGGATGCACTTGTGGAGTGTCTTGTAATTGGTGTTGGTACCATGTCAGGTGAGCCATACAGTGTAAGGGTCTAAATATTTCCAGTTTAAAAAAACCTTTTGAGAGACATTAGGGTATGGAGAGTTTCAAATAATAGGTGTTAGCCATGAGAGTGGAGCAACTTAATCTATTTATTTATCTATCTCCTAATTAGCTTATTTTACTGGTTACTGTAAATATGAATAATATATACATGCTGAACCAAAGTTTGAAATACT